AAATACTCCGTTGTATGCATGATGGGTTTAGCCTTTGGGGTTACAGCATACCCGCATAATCAGAGTACTGTTTTTTATAGAAGCGACCAAAGAAATCATAATTTCAAAATCACAATTACATACATCCACACATACAGGAACATTTTACTTTTAGTACAAGTACATGTATGGCAATATTGATGGCCGACAAATCAGAATTTTCAAATATTAATTTAAGATATATAGATGTATACGGACTGTAAAATTATCATTTATAGGTTGAAAACCTTTATTATCTGTGTATTAATAACCCAATGAATCAATTAACAGAAAGCAAATTTGAAACATGTGCAGTACAGTATGGTGGACATAAAATTTTAAGGCTCTCATGTCAGTCATGTATAAGATTTACACATGATTGCTCATGTTAATGGATGAGGTCTGCGTTGCTTGACAGGTGTAAAACTGACAGGTGCATGGTTGACTGACCACATGTACAGATGCACAAAGCTAAAAACCATACATGTATGTACATGTACAGTCAGATCTATGCACAATGTACAGTGTATGTGTGAGCCAATCCAACAAAATGAGTCCTAAGTCGCCACAGTTACTATTGAGTAAATCTGTTGAACAAATCTTGCACCAGGGAAATCAATACAATAGGAACTGTCTATAGATTTTGTTTTTATCCACATTTATATGTCCATGATATTTCATGAAGGTGACAAACTGACCACATACGGTACATCAAAATGAGGATCAAAACGCTTGTTATACATGTACCGGTAGGCCTAATGCATATGAAAAATAAATAAGGGGCTAAATGTCATTAAGACTCATTTTGAAGGAACTGATCACTTATGCACTTCATCTAGGTATATGTACCGGGTATTAGGAAAAAAAGTGGACAGTCTGCTGTATGTGGGCCTGCATGCTGATGTGCACGTGGCCACTGGTGCACAGTTTAATCAGTGTAGTGTTGACAGTGTGGATCAAAGGTTTTTTCAAAGATGCATGTGAAACCAATGCAACTAACAAGAGGCCCATTGATGAATTGCAAATGCATCAGTACAGTGTGTTAGTGTGTGCACAGGGCCAACTGATAGAATGCGCAAGATACAATCTATCAGCTAGATTAATTTCATAGGGGAGTTGACAGCAAAGTGGTCAAGGTCCATTTTGGAAACCACATGCATGCACACTGAATGTACATATTTCGTTTGAATGCCTATGAACCACAGTCATACAAATAAACATTAGTAAATTACGATGAAGGTTCATATGCATGTTGTGTACCAGCAAGAAAATACAGGTGACCTGTGTCGAATCCCATTTTATTTTTTCAACTACACCTACCCTTCAACTTTTATGACAAGCAGTTTACATGTACATAACCATTTGTACAAATGGTTGTTCACACTGTGAAGCATCACATTACATTTACTTGAATATAATTTCCCCTCACAATAGAGGGACTATTGAATTTTATGATTGAATAAGGATGGTTTCAAGCTTAAGTTATTGCGATATAATTAGTACACAACACTCGTACAGATGTATGTGTACCAACAAGGAACCAGGGGTTTAAATTGCCAAAAATAATCTTTTCAGAAAATGCATTCAGGGGTAGGCCGATTCAATCAAAGCCGGATTCCTTCTCTGAATCTATATCAAAAGCCAGTTGCACACACTACAATGTGAAAAGGCATGTATTATTTATATCAAGTGCTGTTTGTGCTTTGGTATTGCTGTAGTTTTTTGGTACCATGGTAGTACATGACCTCTTTTTGCACAGCAGTGTCAATAGGTTATATCCCCACTGCACTGTCGGGGCAGTGTTCATACATGTACATGTACACAAAAACTATGCAAACACATGCATGACTGCAACTGCTTACTACATGTACTACTACTAGTACAACTAGTAGTACTAGTTGCTTCCTTATTCACCTGCACCGCACAGTCTGCAGTATTGCATTTGCATGATCATAAATAACTGAACTCCTCCCTTTCTTGAGAGTTTGTCGTGAAACAATAAGGACACCAACTTTTACAAAGATGATGGTGGTAATTTCTTTTACAAAAATTACATAATGACAGTCGGACGAAAGTAACATGTTTGAAGCTACCATACAAATAGTTCGCACTTACCAAGTTTATGGTACACATACGTGTACAGATACAATTACATTTAAGTGTGTTTGTTACTGTCGTAAAAACGGGTTTCTTGTCAATCATTAGATTTACCACAATCACAGCGTAGGGAAGGGGCACAAATTGGGGGCATACACACCCCCATAAAAAAAGTTGTCGACCCCCCCCCCCCCCCAACTGTAACAGAAACTGAGCACCCCCCACTATAACATCTACCTGTAGCCCCCTTCCCCCGCCCACTTGCCCCTGTAATGAGAACCCTGGCTACGCTGCTGGTTATTTAAGTAACACTTAACACATTCTGTGTACAGCTACCAACTGCGAATGAACCAACAGGCTGTAATCCCTCCTAATTAACATAAATTTATGAACATGTAATCACAAAAGGACTTTCATGATAGTCCTTATATAATAGATTACTTAAGAAACATTCACTAAAGTTACAAGCAAATCTTTTCAAATACAGCCCTCAAGAGAATTTATTATCTTGGTTTATAAGCTACATTGTATTAACACCAAACTGCCTACAGGGAATTTTTTTACATTGGCTTATCTAGCTCCTACACCTATGTTCTTGAAACTCAATAATTGTAAATTGACTCAGTAGCCTGGAGACGGAGACTGTAGAACTAGTATCAGCACAATCACCAAAAATAATGCTGCATGGTCTTACGATACTTGTGTTCTTAGCCAGTAAGCTGTCTTTTCTTCACTTTTCAAAATCAATCCCCACATCATTGACGAAACGATGCAACTTTTTCAACAATTATATGAACGTTCTAATTTGCGAACAGTATATTTACATTGTAAGTTAAGTAACTTCATTGTAAAGTGACAGTTCAGAGAAATTCAAGATAATCACAATAATTAGAGCACAAGGGGATGTTCAGTTCATTTTGTATTGCAAATTTGCCGTAAAATGGGGGATTGAATATTTTTCAGAAATTTACTGCATGTCAGATGGCAAATACTATTTTACTTTGAAAGAATGAAATTTATCCAGTATTATTTAATCGTCACGTGATCACAAATAATAAAAACAAATTTATGGAGAAATCTAGTCCGAAAATCAAAACGATCTTGTTGGCAACCATCTGGATTCCACACACCAACATGTTGGGTTTACAAAAAAAAAAATTTATTTGCAAAAAAAATTATGTCAATGTTAAAGATTTGGCAAATTTTTGACCAAATTCAAATTGATAGGCTCTATCGACAGTTAGTTATTCAATGACCTTATAACAGTCAACTGAACTGGGCTACAGATTTTGAGATTTGACTACACATGAGAAATTTGTTTCCTGACGAAATCAATTTAAAGTTTAAACATGGTAAACAAAAAATAACATAGGCCTAGCCTATTAATAATTTTTAATAAGTCATTATGTGACTGAAATTGTTTTGCATCTCGTAAAGCATCTATTAAAAAAAAGTAGGCTGGCATGGCTTGCACCCGAGTATGTTTTATCATGTTGGGGACCGGGAGTATCGGCCAGCCGCGATTTTCCACCAGTCGGCCGGCCGCGGGCAAATCGACGCGCATGGCCCCATTGCCTGCGGCGCCGTTCCGGTCGCCAACTTCGAACCATCCCACAGGTTAACGCAGTTCCGGGTATCGATTATGCAAAAGAAAGCCTTAATTCCGTCCATTTTTAATATCAGATTGACCCAAAAATACAACCCCTAGCTAGAAAGATAATTATGTTAATTATAAACAAAACAAAAGGTGACAAACGAGGTGGTGTAATGTCGGAACTTCAGCGTTAAAATCGTAAACACTGGAAAGTCTGATGCGAGTTAGTGTCGTCAAAATCGACTTACCCCGAAGGAACGACTCTCCCGCACCGCAAGAGAAACTTTTTCTCTAACAGCGGAGGCAGACACCTCCATGCTCTTCCGAAGCATCCTCGCATGAGGCCGCTCCCCAGCCATCTTTCTTGGCCACTTTTCAAGCACCGGAAAATTGTTAATTATAGCACTAATTCAGAGGGGAAGTTGTGACTAAAGAGATTTCTCTCGCGCAATCCACCGTGATCTGTCGGCCATTTTGAAATTGCCGTGTGCAAGGAATTATGGGAGTTCCACTTTGTATAAAAGGAGGTGGGGCACTTTGCAGAGTATCCCACACACACACACAAAAATAATGCCAATCACATTGACATTTTAATGTCAATCATGTGGTCAAGTTGTTTACTTTTTTTGAGTGTTTAATTATTGATAGTAATTCTATAACTTTGTCAGATTTCGGGTAATATTTCATAAAAAGATCTTTCTATCACGGCAGCAAAGTATAAGATGGGTTGCATATTTTACTTCTTCTTTTTTGGGGGGGGGGGAATTAATTAACTTTATTCAGACAAGAACTTTTACATTATACCCAAAACTTATAGATTATACCAAACTTAATTGTACAATATTAGGACTACCAACTTTATTTCTTTACTAATACAAAATGTCGAGACACTGATCACGACCCAAACCCACCGCAAATGTTGCTGAGGCCAATTCCACCGAAAATAGTATCAATTCGTCTCATTATTCAGGGGGGAAAAGATAAAAATTAATCTAAACGCATGTCTTCTTTACATCTATTGTTTTCGTAGAATTGGTACCGTTTTGTTTGTGTTGCTTTTAAGTTTTATTTGACAATCTCCAGGGATTTCTTACAAGAAACAATGAACAAAAAGTTAAGAATTAAATTAAAACATTCTATGATCACAGAAATACAATATCCTAGGCGTTGCCGAGGATAAAAAAAAAACAATATCAGCTTATACCAAACAAGCACGATGATTTGCTATGTGCTATCTTCAGTAGACGGGCACGTACGAGAACGACACCCCTAAAGTGGTTTTTGGTATCTCCCATTGCCCTCATGTGACCCGACATATTACCTCACATCAAAATGATGGCGACGGACGGAATCCCTTTCTACGCATAAAACAGTGCAAATAAATTACTCGGTAAATCAAGAAATTCTGCGGCAAGGAAGACAGCAAATTTGACAGAATGAAGAAGAAGGTATGATGCTTATAATGTTGCCTTTTGATTTGGGTTGAATTGAGTAATGTATTAACAAGTGGCAATTTTGTTGCGGTCATTTACTTTTCATTTAGTGTGGCGCGAATCTCTTTTGCACTGTAAATTGGTATTGACCAGTTATGTTATGAATATGATGTCTACTGCTGTGATCGTGTGTAACCATGGAGGAAGGTGTAACTGGGTTAGAGGAAGGAACACTGATCAAGACCACTGATGATCGAAATTACTGTTACATGTATAATTTCCGGCACAACTATTGAATACAGGGCAATTGGCAGCTCCAGATTAAAAACTTGTGAACATACACTTTCATGACTTTATACAACAAACAACATGACAAAAGGTATGATTAATTGTGGATCACACACAACTGCACAAATGGTTGGGTCGTTAATTATTTGGAAAGCCGTGTCTGACATTCAACTTGGGCCCTACTAAGACTGAAAACTACTATCGCCATACCAATACCATGTCCAAATGTTAAAAATGCGATAAGTGTGTCAAAGTTACTCGGGCTAGTCCTAACCGTATGTATGTATAGTCATTAATATGGGCATGGATATGGGCATGGATAGACCCACACCCAGTCAGTAACTTAGGGTGCCAGAACTCCATTTTTTAAATGTTGTCTTTGGTTGGTTGTTTAGCGCCACAGCGACGGCAAATCATACTAACTGTAAACCGGTATTTTCACGAGCACCCACTTACCTCCGACTCCGAGTAACTTGGACCCAACTTATCGCCTTTTTAACATTCGGACATGGTCTGGGGATAGTAGGGTCCAAGCTAATCCGTAAGTTACTCGGACTACCACTGATGAAGATCCAAAAAGTTGCCAATATTAAGTCTACATAAATTTAATGTTAGTTACTTGTTTTGGCCTATGGCTATGCTGCTATGTTTTTTTACAGAAATGTTTTCACTACTACTACTACTAGGGCCTACGTGTACACTCCATGTGTGTGTACTGGGTGGGTAATCTGTTGAATTTACATGTATTTCACAACTTTTATAACTTTGTTATTTCTGAACTGAACTTGAAACTTTTGAGTTGACCTTTAACAGGTAGGTACAAGGACCCGTATCTGAAACTCTTCCAAAGTTCATGTAACTCGTGCAGCACGTGTCGTCTTTATCAGTGCAACTCTGGTTGGACGTTGCGCAAAGTGCAGTAATATAAATTTATCAACAGTGGGAGTTGCACAAAAAGCTTGTTGACTTCACGTGATTGTGGATTAATAACTGTTTTTTTAATAAATTGGCGAGTGGTTTGTATTGTTTTGAGTATTTTTTTGGCAGTTTGATTGGTACTTGCAGTGTCAGCATGCAAAGGGCATGAGCTAGGTACAACGTGTAAGGACATGAACGAGGAGAACTTTGGAGGTGATGCAATATTTAAGAGATGGTGACTTTGGTGTTGGCCAGTGCAGTATCTTGTCTCACGGGCGCTGAATGTACCAGTACTTACATGTAACCCGCAAGTACTGTTGGTTTGAACCTTGAGTAGCGTTAAGGTATTGTGTGTTTGTGATTAGCTGTGGGTAGTCTTCAGAGATGGTGGCCGTGGGCTTAGAGGACTCATCATGCTCATGATTTGAGATTTTAGCTTCTCAACTGATGCTACATGGACAGTGTGTTTTTGTTGCTGCAATCTATGACTGTGTCTACTCTGTAGTGTGCATTGCCTTGCTCTGTATGGTAAAAGTGCAACATTTTATTGGGATTCATTTAGTGCTTTTCGTGGTGGAGAGTACAACTTCAGAAAAGTTTGTCGATATATCATGTGATGTGACTTACCAGAATCCTGCCTCCCTGGACTTACATGTTTTTCTAAGGGTAAAAATAAATCCCAGTACTTTTCGTCTTCTTTTGGAGTTATTAAATATTTTACACGTTTGACCTGCAAACGTGTAGGGCCTACTAGGCATGTGTATTTGAGTAAACTCTTGAGTGGGGTGTTGCTGAAGGACCATTGCCACGGTGTGCCGATTCTCCTATTTATTACTCTCTTGCGTATTGTTACAATTTCAATGGAAGAGTACCCTTCACACTCCAAACCATTTGTATGTATACAAACAAGAATACACAAAGTGTCCTTCATTGCCTCTCATGAGAAGAATACATTGAGTCCATATTTTTGTACACACATATTCGACAGGTTCCCATGCAGGTACATTCACCTACATGTACATGTAGACTGAAGATCAATGTTTCAATTTTTCAGAATGCTATTGCAAATTTCTGTGGCATACACAATGTAAATCTACATCATGTGAGAATTACTAGCGATAAATAGTGCTTTGTCTGATTATGCGTATTTTTATAGCCTTCACAAAATTTCTGTGTTGACTTTAAACTGGAATGTTCTTTGAACTTGTGCTTTGTTTGGTTACTTGGTTTAGATTGGAAATACACTATTGGCTTAAAAACAAAAGTACAGTTCCTGCATGTCTACGTGTATGCAGTCATGCACTTATTGTGCTAATTCCAATGTGCTTGGTACATGTATTGGGCAATGACAGTTTCGATAAGCAAGTTCCATGGTACATGTACATAAACTTCCTTTTTATTGTTCCTAATGAGTGTCTGATTTCATTCTAAATAAGCACAGGTGTTTTTAGAAACGTTGTAACTAAGCTGTCCATATTCTGTACCACTTTTGAGGTTCATTTTCACCTCCATAATTAAAAGGCAAGTCCACACATGAATCCTGTACAGGGTGAACTTTCTGATTCATATGAGGAAAGCATTTGGTTCAGTGAAGGACTTCTGTTCCTGAAATACACTCTGCGCAGGTTTCTCCTGGATGTATTTCTTTGGGTCAAGACATTTTGAGAATTCCTGAACTGTTGTTTCGACTGTTCGTCTAATTATTTGGAATCTTTGGATTGCAACTTGTATCTTTGGAATTCGATCTGGAAGTGAATGTCAAACCTGCAAGACATAATGAACGGGTTACCCTTGAGGCCAACAACTTTTACAAATCGCAGAAAAAGGAAGGTAAGTTAAAAAGTAACCTATTCTTGTTTCTTTTAGTATTTTTTTGAATTTTTGAAAAGTTCATGTACATCCTTACCTTGGCTTTGAGCATCACTGCTTCCATTTCTCTCGCACGTTGCCATTCTTCAAACTCGGCCGTCTTGTCTTGACGATTGTGGCTGTCGTATCGTGTGCTGCTCAGACCGGCATAGCTATAGTACCTTGTCTTGTGTGCTGCCCTCCTTTGTGGGTTTATGGGTTTGACCCACGACGGCTGGTGCCCATACGAACACCGGTGACCACTGTGGCTGGCATACATGTTGAAGATATGAGGCAACGTTGCGCTCCAATCCTAACACTGTCTTCAGTATTGCAGTGAAAATCCTGTCGCACAGAGTTCTAACCATAAAAATTAACTCAACTCACCGGTGTTTTCTTGCTAAACTGTTGGTTTTTAAAGCCACAGAATTCTGTTGAAAAGTTGACCTTCCGCGTACTGCTAGGTAGCTGTCTCCCTGTGGTACTTGAGGCATTGTTTTCATTGAAATCACTTCAGGCGGACTACATCGGTGACCCTAAAGTTGAGAAACTCATTCAAATTGCAGACAAAAGAAATACATTTGTAGCATGCACAATGGTATTTCTGCACCAGTTTTTCATTTTAGAGAAACAGGAAGAAACGGTAAAGAAAAAAAAATTGTGTTATTCTTACAGGCCTAATAGTGATACAGAAATGCAGTGCATCTGTTTTTAAACGTTGAATGGCACAATATTATTCTTAAATCCAAACGGCAAGTTAATAGTAAAGAATTCCCCAGTGTAAAGCTTACTGCTTCCAACACTTCAGCCTCATTCTTTGGAGTAATTATGTTGGGAGTAATCATGTGTGGGACTTGGGGCCAGCTTTGTTTTGTCTGGCAAGTCTGAATCTTAAAGGTTACCTACTTCAATAACAACCAGCACGTGACGTTGGAATATTACCTGACTAAACATTAATGTAAACTGTATATCTACGGCCATTTTCTGTGCCTGCTTGTGCTAACTTAATTCATCGTATGAATTCTGGCAAGCTTCATGTTTTTCGCACAGGGAGTCAATATTTCAACTTTGACCATCAGAGAACAGTTTACTGAAGGATGCTGGCATTTAAGGAATCCGGTTGCTTAGTTACTAATCACTTGACGTTGTCATATCATCGTCTGAGCATCATCACTCAATCTTGAGAGATTATTGATACAAAAATCCTTTCTAAAATGGCCAAATCGGCGCCCTTGCAGTCAATCTGGAGACTGTGTTTAATATTATATCCTCGTAACCTTTTGGAATGGAAATAAATCATTTTTGTTTGGTCATAGTTATACACACATTGCAAGGGTCTGGTGAGTTTATTACACAAAGTATCGTAATTTAAAAAAGAAATGAATGAGTGGAATATAAATTGTTTGCTACTTATTATTTTACTTGTGCGCTGTGTTTACACAGTGCATTAACATCATTTTCCAGGTCATTCATTTTTTTTAAATTCGCAATCTGACTTGGGAGTATCATTGCAACCAAAACACAATTTCTAGCTTATTTCAATTAGAAGTGACACAATTTTTTTTACGAAAATATAATTCTCTCCTCTAGAAAATGAAGATCTGCATGTGCATGTAGGCCCCAAGTTACAATGTCACAATCAAAGCATCATCATAAAGTGTTCTGTATTATTATTGAGTTAACCCAGAAAAGTCTGGAAACTGTTAATTTTGGTAGGTGCAAAAATGGTCATTGTTTTTCATTGTTTTGTTTTTGATAGGTACTACTGATGGGTAAGAGTGGGTCTGGTAAGACCAGCATGAGGTCCATTATCTTTGCCAACTATATCGCCCGGGACACCCGCAGGTTAGGGGCTACAAGTAAGTTGACATTTATTTCTTTCAATCTGTGTTTTTGTTTTTTTATTGCATAGAAATTCTAATCTAGGAATACTTTTCTACAAGTTGGAATGTCTTACCTTCCTCAATCCTCCGAAGTCTTCCGGGCGGATTTTGGAGGATTGAGGCTGAATGCAACATACAATTTTGGAGGATTGGGGGCACATGAACATTCAGTATCGGTTGTTTTTGGAGGATTGAGGCTGAATGGTGTCTGAAGAAGAGGATTGGAGGATGAAGGGAGGATTTTGGAGGATTTTGAAGGATTGAGGCAGTGGGTATTCTTCATTTGAACATAAGAGCAAAATTTTGGAGGATTTTGGTGGATTGAGCATAGTTTCTAGCAAAAAAAAGCCTGAGGGTAGGGTTAACTGCACGGAATGCATTACTTCAAGCCTATGTTAAGACAGATTTAAATGAAATTGGCATTGAGTTTAACAATTTGTGTTTAATAATATTAATTTGTTTTTGGTGTCTTAATGTGAATGTGGCTATCGCTTTCTTCTCAATTGCATTCGAACATGTGTTTCAAGTCAAAACTTTTTTGAATATTTTTGACAAAAATATTTTTGTGAAGTGTATTAACCTACCTGTACCCAAGCATGTCTCTCCACTTTTTCCCATCATATTTTTGATTTTATTGCATTTTTCTTCAACTGAGACACTCCAACTGCTATTTTCCGTTTGTATAAACACGTTTCCCCTTTGTTTATTTCCCCGCAGTCGACGTTGAGCATTCTCACGTCAGATTTCTAGGCAACCTCGTCTTAAACCTCTGGGACTGCGGCGGGTAAGTGTGGCGGGATTCGTTCAGACTCAAAAAAATAATCTCATCAGAGTCGCAATTTGTAGACAATCCCGCCTAGGGATATCAAAAGCGGTGGCATTTACAAACAACAGCGATAAGCAAGACTGTTTGTAAATCAAGCCTCCACTCACTGAGGATGTATTTTTAACGGATGCCCTCTGAAAAGCAAATGATTGTTTGGAAGGGTAGCTGATATGCTGTGGGGGTTACAAACGATGCTGTGCTTTTAGATTATCACTAGCCTGAAAAATTTAAAAAAAAAAAAATTGGTGTGCTTGATTTTGTTTCTGCTGTTTCCATTTTACGAAATTGCATGCAAAGTGAAACAATAAAATCTGGTTTGAAGTTGAACCTCTGAACTCGGACTAAAGTCCTTGTAAAAAAAACGTCATGTGATTTTTGTTGGACTTTTGGTCTAAATATCAAAGGTGGACCACACAGACCACCATCCATCTTTCATTTCTAACCGAAAATTATAGAGGGTTAGCAATCCTTCAATTTTGGGGAGCTTATTTATTACAATGCTTATTGGATCTAATTATTTGGAGAAGCAGTTGGGTAACAGGGGTTTTATAAAAACAGCAGCACATTTTCATGTAGTTGTTGCTGCAATTTTGCTGTTATGACTTGAGTATTGGTCATTGTGCCTGATTTCTTTAGATGCATGAAGATTTTAGGGCAGATTTTTACTTTGCACATAAATTTCCAAAGCAGAATTTAATTTCAATTCATCCTACCCAATCATTCCGCTCCAGCCAAGAGGCGTTCATGGAGAACTACTTTGCCAGCCAGCGGGACAACATCTTCCGCAACGTGGAGGTCCTGATCTACGTCTTTGACGTGGAGAGCCGGGAGCTGGACAAGGACATGCACTACTACCAGTCCTGCCTGGAGGCCATCCTGCAGAACTCTCCCGAGGCTAAGATCTTCTGTCTCATCCACAAGATGGATCTGGTTCAAGAGGATGAGAGGGAATTAGTGAGTATTCCGAAATGAAAACATGTTTGTTCTGTCTGTGGTGTCTGTATCTCTCTCTAGGGGCACTGGCCTGGAGGTGGTACACACTTATAGAAAGGTGAAGTCGCAGAGGTGTTTTACAAAAGCATCCACAGATGCCGCAGTTGGCGTAATGCATTTGCGCCTTTTCTAGGGATTGCTCTTAAAATCCTCAATGCAGAAAAATAGGTGGCAAGGATAATAATCATAAAACTTGCTTATTATAACTGTAAATTGTTTCCCTACCGCAGAGTTTGATCCCTGCTCTGAATCAAAATCAATTAAAATATCTTTGTGACTTGTTGATTCCACACATCAAAGTGGTCTTGATAACTTGACTAGGTTTTGTTGACAGGAACTAGGGGCCTGGCGGTGAACAGATTAAAAATAAGTGACTTAAGTTATTTTCACCTTGCCCAGATTTTCCATGAGCGAGAGGAGGACCTGAAGCGTCTGTCCAAGCCCCTCTCCTGCACCTGTTTCCGTACCTCCATCTGGGACGAGACCCTCTACAAGGCCTGGTCCTCCATTGTCTATCTCCTCATTCCCAACGTGCAGCAACTCGAGTCCAATCTCCAGCAGTTTGCAGAGATCATTGACGCCGATGAGGTCCTACTATTCGAAAGGGCTACATTTTTGGTAAGAATAAATTAACCACTATCACCAATTGGGTATATTCTATAGTACCTTACAGAACCCAACAGAAAACAAAATGTGATGCCATGGAGGAAGGAGGTGATCAATACTAAGTATCTGAAACAGGCTTCCAAAGATACGGCTACATCCAAGTCACCATGTTCTTAGTTGAAATTGACAAAGACGTAGGCAATAGCTTAAAGAAGAGATTTGAAAGCGGCACTAATCTGACAGAATCCACCAGCAAGGAGAAAAAGAAAGAATACAATGGTTCGACAGTGAAGTACAAGTGAGACAATATAAGTACACATGCTGCCTAAAATAACAGTTGGGTGTTACATAATGAATGATGTATTGTCGGCTTTTACGCAATGTCAGGTGTTAGTTCATGTGATCCAGTAATACTTGGTCACTGGACACTGCAACTTAATCCAGGCTGATTGGCGTAGCAGATTAACTAATACACCATTCATTATTAGAAATAGTACTTGTGGTGGAAATATATTTTTTTTAAAAGGCTGCTTTTGGGGAAAACCTTCTGAGAAGCATCAGGAGAACATAGAATACATGGATGACATAGAATACATGAACATATAACATGCAATACATGTAAATAGTCAGTTGTAGATAATGCTGAAAACAAACGGGAATGGTATACATAGAAAGAGCAATATCCACAAAACAGCAGCAAATGTAAACCTTTTGTCAACCTTACCAGGATCTAAAACCAGGTCAAACTAAAGATATAAAAACAAACTACCTTCCAAAAATGTGTACATATACATTTATAGAAAAGTTATCCATATCCCTTTGATGTGGAAAATGTACAGCATTGGCTGTCAGTGAATGGCAAAGATATGCATTAACACTAAACATCACATTATACTCCAGTAAACATCATATTTTTAATTAATTCATGACTCATTTTAAAAAAAAAAAAAACTGGAAAAAATTCAAGTGAGCAAAACAAAACAAAACGCCTTAACTGAAGAATTGTTTGAAAACAGTAAACCATTAAGTTAGACTCCCAAAGCATTTTTGAGCCAGGAGACTTCCATGATCCTGCAACTATTTTACACTGTGCCACATTCCTTGTACCTTAGTTTTCAAAGGTCATCAAGCTCAAGCCCCAGCATTTTATATGAAACAATTTTGATTAAGTTTGGTCATGTGTCTATCTGCACTTTTCAATGCATGGTGCATAAAAAAAGCAATGTACATGAACACGTATGGAGTTGAAAAGGCCAGAAGTTCATTATCTGGAAAATTATGCACATAGATAATGACATTAGACACCCCCAACTTATGTGAAGCAATCACCCAGACGCGAGAGTGACGGTACCGCCTCACTAAAAGAATTAACCTTTGCAGAGATTCAAGACTTCCTAACCCGGTAGATCTTCCGTTCTCACGACCACTTAAGGGGATATGTGGGGGTTTGCATGCAATCAAGTCCTTAAAGGAATAGTATGCTACAAGAAAGTAGTGCTCGGCCTCGCTCGAAAGCCTGGGCGTTGCAGTGTTTGTATTTGTGGCACGGATTTCAGAATTTTGTTAAACTCTGAGTTGAGTAGCATGGGATTTGTCAAGAAGTTGTAAAATTTAGTGTTATTTATGTTCATTGTACAAGGGAATAACAAAGGATATTCATTACTAAATGCCCTAGATGATGCATGTTGATATTGTTGTTGTTTATGAGAGATCCTTGGGCTAAAGTGTACTTCAAAAGAGGCAGCACAAAAATAAAGAAAGCAACGAATGTCCAAGTATGAGTCACACATCCACTAATCCACAACTGCCATGAGAAGTACTAACTGTCAAAAGAATTATTCAGCTGTGCATCTTTAAGTTTATTATATTTGTCTGTCTCTTTTAGGTAATCTCACACTGTCAGAGGAAGTCACAGAGGGACGTTCACCGATTTGAGAAGATAAGCAATATCATCAAGCAATTCAAACTTAGCTGCAGGTAAGATAGACAGTCTGGAAAGCATTGGGGAAATACTAAAGGAAAGGTATGAAGCGGTTGAAGCAATGATTGAAAATGAGTAATTTTATCAACTGTTTGAAGAATGTTTAGTCTGCGTACAAATGAGGTTTTTCCAGCATATATTAAAAAAAGATTAAATAGGTCAGTGTCACACACATTAGTACTCCTAGGATAAAATTATTTCAAACATTTTGGGGTGGTCATTTAAAGATTAAAAACAGAAGAAACTTTATAGGCACTCTTTGTTTGTTTTCTCGGCAGTAAACTTGCAGCGTCGTTTCAGAGTATGGAGGTGAAGAATTCGGCATTTGCGGCATTCATCGATGTGTTTACATCAAATACATACGTGATGGTGATCATGTCAGACCCATCAATACGTAAGTATCTCTAGGAGTCCAGGTTTGTGAGCCTAGGATTTGAATAGGTCTATAAAGTGAGAACATTTTGCACAAATGATGGACATTTGTAAGTAGTTGTTAGCAAATGTACACATTTGTCTTAGAATGTCAGCAAATAGAAATCCTCAAATTAACCATAAATGGAGACTGACTGGCATTATAATAACTTTGAAGCTGAACAAAGAAATTAAAGAGAGCGGGGTTCTAACCTGTGACCTCCGGATTATCGTTCCAGTGCTCTACTAACTGAACTATCCAGCCCTTTGTTGGTGGTTCCTTATTATGTCGATGTCTTTGGGGAACTGCCACTATAGAGCTAGATAGCTCAGTTGGTGGAGCATTGGAATACTAATCTGGAGGTCCCTCGTTCAAACCCTGCTCCAGTCAATCTCTTTGTTCGACTTAAAAATCACTCAAATAGAAATACACTAACATCCAGTTGTCTCTTACTAGACTAAAGGTAGTGATTCTCAGAAGGGTTTCATATTTATGTGAATGACATAAATTGGCCAAGAGAGGGCAGTATTCAACAAGAGTGGCTTTGATCTGATCTCTTGATACTTCTAGCATTGTCGAGTTTTGCTTTTATGAAATGAACAAGTGGATATCTTTTAACATGAATTGAACCTGCAACTTTCAGAACTATAAAATGAGGGTAGCAAACTTTGCATGAATTTGTTACTTATCAATCCAACTAGGCAATGAATATTTATATTGGTTATTGTCAGCCTTTCAGTTATTAGCCACTTGTCCCTTGATATATCAGAAATTTAGTGCTCCAAGTGCATTTTGAGTAAATGATACACTTAATCTCTCATCGAATGTTTCAAATTTATGTTGGTTTTTGTTTTTCCAACAGCTTCAGCTGCAACTCTGATCAACATCAAGAATGCCAGGAAACACTTTGAGAAGCTGGAAAAAATAACAGACAATCCTATGGTCACTTAAAAACAAACTTGCTTACTAAAATGTTATCTTAGCCTAGCGTTCACCTGTCACGTGGAGTAAGACCGTATCCAAATTACTTGCCTATGGCTTGACATTACACACGCGTCTATGGTAGAGGCTACAGCCACTTCTCATAGACTCGTGTGTAATTTCAAGCCGTAGCCAAGTAATAAGGACACAGCCAAAATGCCATGGAGCTGCTCAGAACGTAAATTTTATTAGCACGGAAAATAATTGCTTAGCAAAACCAGGTTACCAGCCAAAATATAATGCAATGTTTATTGCTATTGACTGGTCCTCAGCTTATTTATGCTTAGCATGTAAATCTGCTAAGCAATACTTCCTGCTTAGCAAAACCAGGTTACCAGCCAAACTATAATGCAATGTTTATTGCTATTGGCTGGTACTCAGCTTATTTATGCTTAGCATGTAAATCTGCTAAGCTTTACTTCCTGCTTAGCAAAACCAGGTTACCAGCCAAACTATAATGCAATGTTTATTGCTATTGACTGGTACTCAGCTTATTTATGCTTAGCATGTAAATCTGCTAAGTTATACTTCATGCTTAGCAAAACCAGGTTACCAGCCAAACTGTAATGCAATGTATATTGCTGGTGACTGGTACTCAGCTTATTTATGCTTAGCATGTAAATCTGCTAAGCTTTCTGCTTAGCAGGGCCGTGAAATGTGTCAATTGTCATAACAGATTTTCTTCAGGGTTAGGCTCCATCCGAATCAGCTGTCTAGAGCTAGGTCTACGTCTGCGTCCATTGAAAATATGCGGGGACGCGCTGACAATAGACGTAGCCGTAGCTCTGGAAGCCTGTTTCAGACACGGCCTTACAGTCCTATCAGGCATGCAACTTTTCCTCGGATCCGCTGATTTCCTTGTTTTCTTACTTCTCATAAATGCCATTACAAATGTAAAAATACTTTTCAAAGTCTTGTGTGGTTTTGGAGTTGCCTTGTTTTTTTCTTCTAAATTCCCAGTTGCATGCTTGTCATATGGTCAGTGTAGGTTATCACTCTTTGCAAAAAGCAACCTGGGATCCTCCGTTTACCTCATTAAATAGTCAGTTTTGGTAAACATCTTAGGAATACTACACAACTAGGAGTGTCTATACAGCGATAAACACTACATTCTATGACATTTACTTTTGAAAGTTTCGTTTACAATCAGGCTTGTACATAGAGGTAACAACTTTACAGATATGGACCATTTTGTGTGTGACTTTTTTGATCAAATGGGGGGGGGTTTCAAAGTTGAACACCCTTGTAATTGTAAACAGTGATATCATTTTTAACATTAAACCAATAGTGCAGACATGAGAATCTTCCTGTTTAAACAGGAATTCCTGGGGTTTTTTTTGTTTGTTTATTTTGAGCCTGTTTTTGAACAATTTTCCTTTTTTTTTTCATTGAAATTCATTCTCATGCGTGGTATTGGATCATAATCTCATTAAGGGCAACAATTCAATGCATGCAGCCATGTGTAAGTTGTGGCATGCTGGCAATGGGGCACAAAATATTACACTGAAAAAGATCACAGAGCACTTGCGTTTTTAAGCAAGTGGCACAAAATGACCAAATTGTCACACATGTCTACAACAGGAGATGTTATTGGACACCAAAGTGTACATGAATATATTTTCTGTGCAATTGCTGCTTTAGGTGACAAAGTGCACTCCAAGTTCTTTAAGCATGAATATTTATTAAAACAAGAAACCAGTGAAAGTCACTGTAATGCATTTTTAATATCCACACAATTTAGAACGAATCTAGTATGTTACAACCTCATGAAAAAAATTAGGGGAAATCTGGAGGTCCATTTAGCCAAGCTTTGAGTGGGTTTGATCAATAACCTTTTAAAATAACTGCAAAATTTCTCGCAATGAATGTATCTGATTGAGAGAGAAGTAAATATATAAAAGCTATTTTGAACTTGAAATTCAGTTAATGTTAAGTTTTTTTCCCCTAACTCCACGAGAAATTGTGTGTAGCAAATCATAAAAATCTGTCAATTGTAAAACAAAAATCAAACCTTTGTACATAAGCTTCTTTTGGTTCACGTTTTGGTGAAATTTGGTTCTCTTGCTGAGAACATCAAGAAAAAAAGTTGTTTTCAAAAATTCCAAAGAAATATGTACATGGAGAGGTTTAGTGCATGCAGCTAACTTATTTTTTTGTTTCCAAATTACTTTAGTCTTACTTTAAAAGTATAAATTTAGACCACATTAGAGTATGACATTTTATGCTGTCTGGCACAGCATTTTTGCAACACCTTACTTCTATTCTGTTAAGAGGATGAAAAAGGTACTGATGAACTTTTTTTCTTCAATAGTGTATGTCGTTTTTGTTTCTTGTTTTCTTGAACAGTATCTGTCTCTTTGATATGCGATATTAAAAAATGGAAAGAATGTAGTATCGAGACGCCACTTCAGTGGTTGTGTACAAAGTCTATGCAGAGTCAAGAACATTTTCTAATTATTTTCCAAGTATTGCATTTGTTTCTCAGTCCCAGATTCATGTCTTTTTAAAAATTTTGAGATGATATATGATGAAAAAAAGTGGCGTCAGGATGCAGCATTCTTTCAAAAAAATATTGCTAATGTTATTTTCATAGCTGGAATTGTGAGATTTTAGCTTCGTAAGTAAGCTAAAATGTAATAATTAGTCAGCATTTTGTTGAGTGTATGGTTCAACTGTAAAAGGTGTTCCATTTTTATTATTTAAATAGTGTAACATTGGATTATTAAATGAAACCAAGGAAAGTCTGAATCAAAGTTTACTGTTTCAAACAATGTTCTTTAGGAGGAATGGACTTCAAATTAAGTAAATATTGGCCACCTGCTATTTTGTTTTTAATTTGGGGTGACTTTTTTCTCTCTTTTGGGAAATGAGGTGGGGAGTTGGGACCGGAGATGGGATAATGCATAACTCGCAAGCGCAATCATTAGATACAAAACACATTGTCGCATTTATGTTTATTGGTGTCTAATTTTGAAACAGACAGTTCCGCGCGCGCTGAAGTTCTGTAACTTGCATGAGGGCGCACTGCACAAATTACGGTCGTGCTGCGCGGGTATACGATTTTTGGTCTCGCTTTTAAGTTGTATCGACTGCATGCTCTTTACGCTACTTGGAAGAGATTTAGAATTAGAAGAGAGTAAAGAACGAAAAAATGAAGCAGAATTTAAAAGAATAATAGAATGAAGGAAAAAACTTGCTAACCTACGAGGATAAGATATTGACAAACATTGCTGCAATGAATGTTAACTAAGAACTTTCAACTCAACTGTCAAGTCAAAATTATTTGTCAAGATTACTTGTCACAAAAACGAACAAGTTTGGGCCTTAAGGCTTAACCGGCATTTTCATGAAAATTACAAAATATGTTATTTTAAGTTAACACTTATTAGAGAAGGAAATGTCCGATAGGCTGTTCTTGAGCCAAGTTCTCTGTTTTAGCAGCGGTTTCTGTTCATGCTAACGAAGGAGAAAATAAAACGGTTTCATCAACTTCCAGTGCTGAAACGTACTAAAACCACCCACCATTACGAGGCGAATTGCAACGTGACAAACTTAATTTCCAAATGTGAATAGTCTGAAATTTAATACCTGTACTCACATGGTCTTTGACGCTCCAAATAAAAGCGTACCGACTCCTCAACTTCAACAGACATTGACAATGTCTCAGTCCGACAGAGAAGTTGTTCAAGGCCTTTCTTTCGGCATCCCGTTGTCTCAAACAGTTTTAGTTTAATGGCTGTCACTTTCTGCACAACCTTTCGAGTACAAAGTAAAGTCGTATCATACGAGCGCGTTTCTTGTTATTCTCTCACCTGCCGCTTGTTATGATTAGCCAATGAAAATCGCGTATACTATATTTTGAGTCGGTTTCTAAGCAAGTACCCCCATTTTTGTAGAAAACGTTATAATTCCTAATATGTCGATATTCACAAGTCACTTTTCAAACAGTGCCAATTATGGAAGATAGGAGTGCAAGAATTATGCAACAATGACGTGAAAATTAAGTGAAATTCCTCCGAATTTATAAATGAGCTGTTGGGAACAAGAATAAGAAACCGTTTGCCAACTCTAAAAAAAACAGACGACTACTTCGCGCACCGACAAAAAACATTCGACCAATGAAAAGGTGGCCTAGCGATCACGTGAGTAATTTTTGATGAATATGCATTATTTATCATGTTGCACTTCAGAAACAGTAAGGAGTTAGCGGCGTGCAAAAATCTCATATAAAACTAATATTCAAAATCCCACCCTAAACCAACAGTGCATAATTCTGACACGATGCACATCAAAGACAAACATTCAGATATCCTTTAAATATAGCCTTTATTAACAGCAAGAGTCAGGGAGCCAGACAAGATGGCGGGAGGCTTAACAATAGAAATACTTTACAGAACATAACATCGGAGCAGTTATATTTACAAAAGATGTTTAGTCTTCAGATCTGAAATGGGTCTCTTCAGGACTAACAAAATGTGAAACCTTTACGTAAAATGATTCTGTTTCGCCTATATCGGTTCTGTATTGTTTTCCAACTTTACTAACTTAACTATTTCATGTTTGTCAAGTGTAACTTGACTCGGAGGCCTGCTTTTTGTTTTTAAATTTGACTTAGAAACAGAATATCTCACTCATTTTTTTTAAAGACTTCAGCAGATCAAACTAAACTTTAAGAACCAAACTTTGATACAAAGCACTTCCTACAATGTTCCTTGTGTTCTCAAATGTTATATCTTCGAAACATAAAGGCATTAGTCTACCATTGCTCATTAGCGATCTTCTTTATGGCGATCGGGTACATAAATGTCAAAGATCAATCTAGGATTATCTGAATTAAAATTATATTCATTTTGCTTGTTTTCTATTTAGTGGCAGCTAGGCAGACAGTGCAACAAATTATTCATACAAAAATAGTGATACAGATTATTAAAGATGAAATTAACTTAGAATCATTGTACATAATGCTAAAGGTAATTTGGCTGCATTGTGGCTATTATGAAATTAAATTACTTTTTGGAGATTTGTTTTACTGTTCATTTAAGTTTCATTTAAAAGCCGATTCAAATTAACCTAACAAATGATAATCTATATCATATCCTTAGGAAACAGTCCAATGGGAATATTTTCATTTAAATGGTTTCGCAAAAAAGTTGTGACTGGCTGTCCTTCATCTCCCACAAAAATTGTACAACAAATGTCACTAGAGGGCGCTCAACATTTTGACCACCATGTTCTGCATACAGAGAATTGCAAAAGTTGAGAACCAAGGTATCAGAAGGTCCACTTGCAAAGCAGAATACAATTATCAACAATTCTTGGTTACTCATTATTATGCATATGCACTGATTGATTCAAATATAATACCGTAATTTCCAAACTGGTTTAGTTATGTATTTGCAACTCTCTTTATACAGAAGCTCACAAGTGTTGCCCCTTACAAAAACACCAGTAACTGTTTATATAATGTCAATGGCATTGTCAATAAGGTTAAAAGTGCATGTGCAAAAGGCAACCTTGTTTTTTTGCTATAGCGCCCTCGCTCGACATTCATCTGCCAAGTAACAGCACCCTGATAAAATGTGACCACACTTTTTGACAAAAAGCTGAATTACAATCAGTAAAATCTGTACATTTCACAATTAATGACAACATCCGATGTACCACGACCAATGCACAATCACAAAGCTCAGATCATACAACTTGACCATCCAAAAAATAATATCCGATCACGTGAAATTAACAGTGCAGATTTCCACTTTAACGAATGTTTACAACTGCGGAGTATTTAACCACATTCCTTCACGATAATTTTAGCATTTTTTTTTCCAAACCAAATGCACTTTTCATTTTTACCCCTGACACTCACTGAAAATACAATTGGAAACAGCAATCATTTTCTATTGTGAAAAAAAGTCACAAGTGATCACATTTTTTTCTTAGACTGTGAGAGTTTTCTTCACACACATATATCAAAAAACAACTTTTCACAAAATGCGTAATTTCCGGCAAATATTTCCTCAAATGCCTTCTCAAAATATTGAATCGAAGTAACTCTGCATGCTAATAAACAAAAACACAAAACCTTCAAACTTTTTCCAGACCCTTCTACCCTGTGAATGATATATACTGGCAGGTTTTTAATTTTCCCATTGCCTGGGGATTTTTGAGGTATTCTTTTTGGTTTCACTTCTTTTGTTCTCTTTTAACTCATTCACAAAAGTAAAGGCTCTATATTTTTTCTGTTTGATACAACCCCCCCCCCCCCCCAAAAAAAACATCATCAGATACGCATACTTCCAAACTTTGAATAAGTTACACAAAACTAATCTTTCTACAGCAGCTAGCTCAATACAAAAAAATCTTACTTTTACACATTTTTTTTTAGTTTAAAGTTTTTTAAGTAGTAAATAGTTACAAGTCATCATGTTTTTTGTTTAAAATACAGAGATTGATCTCTTCATTATTAGCAACACTCACTCTAACTCACGCTGTCTCACCACATCGCTCTCCTTTTATCCTCATTATTCAACATCTTTAGCGCTGTACATATTCACATTTTTTTTAAACCACATCTTATGGTCCATCTTTTCTCGTCTTCTTGTTTTAGCTATTATCAGTTTAATACAACTCGATGAAATACTCTGCATAACAACCCAGCGACCGCTAAAACATGTCTGCTTAAAAGTACTTCATTTTGATAAAACGTCGACATGAGGTATTCTAACTCTACAGGTAGTGTACGTTAAAAAAAAACGCCTTAAAACGAGAACTGTCACATTTCATTCTACTTGTTTCTGTCTAGCTCAAGAGGCCAGCTTATAACTGAAAACATGGAAAGAGCTTATTAAAAACAAGTGACTTCTATAACCTGCGGTTATATTGTTTTCGTCCATACAAGTTGCATGGTTGTGTTTTTGGGGTTTTTGTTGTTGTTGTTGTTTTGGATAATCGCCTCAACTCTCTCCAAAAGTTTTGCGACCAGAAGAAATGTTCATAAACAGGAGGTTAAAACAACAATCACTAAAGTCACAGCATGTTACACGTGCACCTTTTGAGAATTCTACATGTACAATACTGAGGGAAAAACAAATTAAAACAATACAAAAGTACAAAAACAGCTACTCAAAATTTAAACCATAAACAGTGACATGATGGCATGCATAATTTGCATAGCTTTGGTTTCAAACAAGTCCATATGTAAGTGGTTTTCACTTTAAATCAATTTTTACTTATATTTCTATATAAAATAAAGTGAATTGTCTTCAACAAGAAAAATCTGTCCAATAAATAAGGGTCAAGTGAGGTAAATAATGAATTCTTACAGAAATCCATTTGGACAAACGTGGATTAAAATAAAAAATTCCTTTTTCGAATGCAAACTCCGACAAATTGGTAGTGAAGGTGTACTGCTTTGAAAAAGAAAAATCACCAGCTTCTCGACTGCCTTTACGCAAAAAAACAACAAAAAACAAACAAACAAACAAAACATTTCTTTGTACTAAAAGTGAAACAAGTATCATTTGAATATTTGGAACTGTTGTAAACAACCACTTTCTCAAAAAAAAAATCGACGAATTCCCAAAAGAAATCGGAATAATCTGTATAATCTGTATCCCTCTAAGAATGTTTTCCCCGTTTAATTTTATGGAGTTTCGACAATTCTGGTAAAACAATCTTCATTCAAACTAATGTACATCATACAATAATATACATCAAAAATGATTTTTAACTTGAAATGTACACAATATCTAATGATTCCTAAAATTAGTCCTTCTCGGAATTGTTTTTCTATGACTAGAATGTTAAATAAGCGCTCGCACTCATTAATATTTAATACTCAAGTATCTCCAGCTTTCAATTGTAGATATGCGATGAGTTTTTCGTTTCCGACACAAAAAATAGTTTGGCAACTTTGTTCCATTTTGCCTTAAGATTAAAAGCATTCATGTACAACACGCTTACACTGCTTATGTTGTTTAATGTTACATATTTTTAAAAAAACAATCGCTGTAATTAATACATAATAGGAACAAACACACATTATAAAAATGATCGTGTAAAAACAATTACATGTACATAACTTTGATTGAGATTAAAAAAAAAAAAAAAAATTGAGATTAAAAAAAATAAAAAAAACAGTTGGACTGATAACTATGGCTTGACTGATTTTAAATTCTCCTTAATCAAACATGTTACGATGAAGAGGGAGAATTAGGGAGAATTAAATAATACTCCCCCCCCCAAAAAAAAAATACAAACAAAAAAATCACATCTCATAATTTGTCCAAGAAACCCCCCTCCCCCAAAAAAAATTCTTTTAGATCTATTCATAATGATTTAAATTGGTCAACATGTCTTAAAAATGCCGAAAAGTATTACTTAAAATGCATACACATTATAAATGCAGCATTTTACTTCTTATAAAAAGCATTTTTGTTTCTTTACAAAAGGGACCCTTTTTAAGAGTATGAAATTATTTGTTTTGTACTTTTAACTAGATATTTCCTCCAGGTTAAAACATCTATTTCACATGCACTCAGTCTGTGAAGGTAAGTACTAATGTAGGTTAAGCAGCAAATATCTTACGTTTGAAACTATTTGGAGTAAATTATCACTCAAATTGAGTTTAAACCTTAAGACAACCGGATACAAAAAGTATTCAAATTCTCAGACGCATATCCTTTTGTATTGGCACATATTGAAACATGAAATGGGCGTTATGCATTAACTGACATCATCATAAAACATGACATCATGACAACAACGAGACAACTTCGGAAATAAACATTACTTCTGATACTGTTTGATGCTACACTTTTTTTTTAGTTTTTTTTTGGTAACTTTTTTCCAAGCCGACGGAGTTGCTCAAAATTGGTCTGTGAATCCTATCGTACAAAACATCATGGTATCAGCTGAACCCTGCCCAAGTTTGACTGCATTTTGAAATTCCCCCCCCCCCAAAAAAAAAAAACTAAAAAAAAACAACAACAAGCAATCGACAGATATGTACCCTGTTACTACCACAACAAACGCAAGGTAAAAATGGTGGTTGCACACACACAGAGTAGCCATCGACTTGCATAACTGACGTGTAACGACGTGGCACCGTCGCCTTGGGGTTTCCGGGTCGGTCGATATTTTGGATCTTCCACCTCCGTGAAGCCCACCTCGTTATTCCCGTTGCCTCCGATATTCCCGTTGCCTCCTCCGTTCCCGCCCTCCTCCGTGTCGCCAGAACCACTCCCACTCCCCGAGCCACTGCCGGTGCCAGCTGTTGTCATGGGGAAAAAGAAAGAAGACAAAAAAAAGGTTAGAAAAATAAAGTAACAATCTTTTAGAGTGCACAGTGAAATTAGGGAAGGAACGGTAAAGGTGTACAGTGGTCCTATGGTTAAGAAGTCCAAATCATGAGCAAGTGGGCTTGTTTGTGTTCTTGGGCAAGACACTTTACAACAATTGCCTCTTGCCACCCAGGATTGCAATGGGTGTATATGAGGAGAGAAACAGGGGGGCGAAGATTTTGAGCTGCTGCAGAAAACTCGACCCAGTTCCCCAATGAACTAGGGGAAATAACTGCGAAGCGCTTTGAGACCATCGATACAATGTGCTACATATGTATTGAGACACTTACTGTCGACCCATTCTACGTCTTCGCCATTAAACGCTCCGTTCAGCCGACTGGTGATGGTCCGCAGGGCAGTGATGTGTTTGTTGATGAGGAAGTTGGGCGGAGACGTCTCCATGGGAACCTCTGGGTTATCCACCTGATTGGCTATGCCGTTACCAACCGGAGGGTGTATGTAACTAAGAAAAGGGAAAAAAAGACAGAAAATAATTAAATTTCCCTTTTAAAAATTAACAGCAGGGCTCAATAATCTTTTAAAATTATGTAACACCTGTACCACTTACATTGTATTACATTGCTATTCTGGATACTCATGTTGGATATAATCATCATTCATGCATTGAAAGTCAAACATAACGTAGGTTGCCTCTTCTCACCTGCCCTTAGAGTGCCCATTCCAACACAAATCGTTGACGGTCACGTCAGCCGCCACATCATCACAGAACATGTAGGGCAGCAGCGTCCAGAACCCCTTGGTGTCCCGGATATTGCTGCGGACGTCCCTGACCAGTTTCTCCATGGTCGGGGTGGTGTCTGTCGCCGTGGTGCGGCTGGGACTGCCCCTGTCTTGGCCCCTGCCTCGCTGTCTTTGCCTCCGGTTGCTGGGGGCGCGTTGGCTGCTGCCACGCTGGCCAGCAGCTGTGCGTTCCTGCTCCGCGGCCTCGCGTTCATCGTCGGCAGGACGTTCACCAGCGGCTTCACGTTCCTCCTCGGGCTCTTGTTCGCCTGCAGCGGCTTCGTCGATTTGAATATCATCATCAACAGCACCTACCGGTACGGCGATATCTGCCACAGGAGCTGCAGCCTCATCGGTGTCTGCTTCTCGCTTTGTGAGGCGCGGTTTGAGGCGGGGCTTACCACAGCCAGTGAAAACCTGCAAACATAATAACAGGAGTAGTACATGTAAGTAATGCTCATACTTCGGTATCATTCACGTACTTGACGTAGTTTGCTTTTATGCAAGATCTCAATCTCAAATATGAAACACCAAATGTCTTTTGAGATTTCTCGCACACATTTTGTCATACATATGAATATTTTCTAACCAGGGTTTCAGCACCACACCCTCAAAAGGTCCTTGTGTGAAAATGAAAAAAAATAATAACAGAGTAGAGATTCAAATTTTCCAAAGGCTTGAATGTGTCGTTTCTGACCGAATTAATCTCAAAGGTTAAATGGAGCAGAAAAGTGACATGCCTAAAGCCAGAGAAAACTCTGACCGAAGTGGCAAAGGATCTCAAAGAGAATGACAGAAAACAACACAGACATATGGTGATTCAAAATAACACCTTGACAGGCGTGAGTGAGATGTGAACCCCGGCCACAATGGCAGAGAGCAAAGGTCGCTGCCCACTAACGACCTCAATCAGTTGGGGTCATTTATGTATCAATGCTAGAGGTCACGAATGATACTCGTCAACCATGACCAACCATGCACAACATCTTTGTAAAAACACACCCACACAGCGTTTCCCTTTAATAGAATCACTAGTGAATCAGAGAGATGCATTATTTATCAAGAGCTGGGTGAAGAAGCAGAATTCCTTTTTCTGTATGTAAATATTTTCGAGAGAGCATCGCTACCGCGGCGCGAGAGAGGATTCTTATTAAGGATTAATCATACTGATGGAAGGGACGAGAGGTTTTTGAGATATTACTGTCACTGGCGACGCCTTACAATGCGCTCAAGGTGTTTTGAGAAAGGTCAGCTGACTTCAATTAAGCAACGAGGGAAGAAAAACTTCAGGATACGTGAAGGAGGAGTATTGTATTCGAGGGTAGTGCCGTTATTTTTTTTTTCCAACTGATTGCCTCGAGTCTTTGTGTGCAGAGCCGAAATACAAATTCATAAAACTCACACAAAAATGCTTCAAATGTTGATAAAACTGAACAGATGTTGACAAACAGACAATGCCGGAACGCCGCAGGGAACAGTTTCACCGACCAACCCAGTTGAGGGCATGTTTGCACATGTCTGTCCTCACTTCTCTGGTGCATTCAAAATGTGGTTTTACCGGAAATGCCTCCAGTCATTCCAAGACGAATGAGATCTTAAACATCATAGCCATCATTGTCCCAATGGTTGTACATGTACATGTACATGTACATGTATGTACCGGTATATGTACATGTACATGTACAGAGGATTCAGGCTTTTACTTGCTCTATGCATGTATACTTGGGCAAGCATCCAGAATGTAAATTAACACTGTTTAATTAATGTACAGCCTCTTTACTTCAACTAGTTAGCGCCTTGGCATTGCCAATCCACAATACAGGATAACAATATTTCAAATAAGTTACACCTTCTAACAAACTCACGAGAGCATTGAAAATCGTTTATGGGATAAGGTGCCAGCAAACCAGTGGAGGATTTCAAAGGATCCAGGCAGAGGTCCTACAGCAACAAAAAGTGGATGATTTTGGGTTTTTTGAGGATTCAGGCTGCTTATGGACAAGGCTTAGGGAGTTAGGGTTAATAAATGGACCCGTCCTGCTTGCCCATGAAACAGTGTGCACTGACCAATAAGATCATGAGTTCTGGTCAGGTGACCTGGTCAGGTGACCACAGTAGTTCAAACTCGGTCACAAGCACAGCGAGAAATTTGCACAAAGCAAGTCCAGAATGGTTCATTGAACATCCATCTGCCTACTGGGTACTTGCAACTTTAAGAGACCATATTAAAAAAAAATTCTGTAAAAAAACCAAAAACCAAGATGGCTGCCACTCTTTAAACAAAGTTTTTATCCAAGGACGTTTTAGCAGCAATGTAACACTTTCTTCTATAAGCTCTGCTGATCGGTCCGCACAGATTCTTCTCCCAAACCTTTCAGGAAACCCAAACTCCCGAAATCATTTTCAATAACTCCGGTCAGGAAGAAAGAAAAAAGAAGAAGAAATTTCTTTGCAAACGTTAATCTGCGCACGGCCCTGATCTTTAATGCCAAAGATAAACAAGACACGAGTGAGAGCAGGAGTTGGGTGGTATGGGTCACTGGGAGGTCTGGGGCATCCAGCTGCGTCGCCGAAGCTAGACATGCTTTGGCAGTTTGCAATATCACCGATTTCGATAACCCGTTGATACCATTTGACAGTCTAGTGATATGCAAGGGAATATTCAGATAAAATATCACCGATATTGATAACCCGTTGATACTATTTGACAGTCTTCTGATATATGCAAGGGAATTTTCGGACAAAATATCACAAATATTGATAAGCCGTTGAAAGCATCTGAAAGCTTTGATCAAACCATATGGCAGGTTTAGGAAACATATCACTGATATTGACAACACTTACCATCCGATACCCTACTGTTAGCCAAACCAGGGAAATACCACCAATATATTAATAACCTGTTGAAACATCCATGAGCTGATTAAAACCCAAGGAATATCGGATGTCAAAATCAGACAAAGTATCGCCGGCATTGATAACCATTGACACCATCGACTATAACTAAGCCAGAAAAATAAAACTGATACATTGATAGCGGGTGATTTCATCCTATAGCCTATTGATAGCAGAGGAATAGGGTACATGTTCAGACAACATGCTGGCAACACCAACAGACTGTTTATTACATAGCTTTGCTTCTTAATGAAGACTTCACATCTAACAGTTTGAACAATGACATGTAAGCCATGGAATAAATATACATGACTATATGAAAAAGGACAATGTGGACAAAAATCAAAATGGCCTTGTACATGTAGCTTAACTGAAACTCCATATCAGCCGTATCCAACAATGTAACAGCCACCAAATTTGACTCGTTGCTTTAAGATGCCCCAGAGAGTACAATCACACTGCATCTATTGGGAAATGGCTACATGCGATATAACAGCAACATGCAAGGCAGCGACTGCCCGCTGTGTTGTGACTGCGGCTATCGCAGAGCAGATAAATTCCTTTATGCCGGAGTTACCACTCTTTGTCACAACGGTGCAGCGACGCCAGAGAGAAAGAAAAAATCACCGCGCATTAACAGCGTGACTCAATGGGGGACGTTAATTGCGCTCGAGTGGGTACCAGTCATAGGCCGGCACCCGACCACCGTGGGACACCATACCTGTGAAATGCTTGTCTTCGCATGTCATATCTGCGTGATGACTGTGTGTTAATACAGCTTTCTTGTGGTGACGTGCAAGTGGGCGAAATAATAAACACTGAGCTCCCACGCATGTTCACAAAAAAACCCAAAAAAAACGAAACATAAAGTTGGGTCGATCTTCACAAATGTACTGTACTGACCACAAGCAGTCTTTCACAAGGTGTGTTAATTTTCCTAAATAAGCCAAAATCAACATTCTGTTTAAAAAAAAAAACACCAAAACTGGCTGAGCTTTCATTTTTATTGTAAGAAGTGTTTTTGCAAGAAATTTAGGTGAGAACACACAGTGAGTTTAATGTTGTCAAGTTGTCAAATGTTTAGTTTTTCCCTTCCTTTTTTTCTACTTTTTTTTCTCATCAAAGGATGAGAAGAGTTGTGAGTCATTAGTCATTCTTGAACTCCAACAGTAATCATCACACCATGATCATCTCAGTGTAAACCGCATCTTTAACGAAGTCATTAAGCTCATCATTAGCTCTATCGTGTCCATCTTTCGGCATCATTTAACATGACCTATCCAATTTCCGATTCTTCCAATCCCAATCCCGCCATCTCATCTCTGGGTACATAAATCCTGCCCAAACTCATTTCTGGCGAGCAAATCCCTTCATCCTACACACACGCTCATGTAGTGTACTTTTTTTTAAGACCACATTACGTCGGTGGTATCAACTTCAATTATAGAAGCCACTCCAGAGGAGTTAAAACAACAACAGTCTGCCAATGTTGCAGGCAGACAACCGATGAAACATGCATCTCCAAGACAACGAGAATGATATCAAAAGCTCCCCCCCCCCCTCCAACAAATCAGGGTCTAGATGTCAACGCCTGTGGTCTATCTCAAGACCATCACGTCCAATACGTGACCTCTTCTACATCCAGAAACAAAAACCTGCACAGTCCATGTTAAGAATTCACCTCGTGCCTACATCAGCACTTGTACACCTGCCCAGCAAGAGAAGAGATCGTAAAAACATCTGTGGAGATTTGGGCAGATTGCAAAGAGAGAAGAGAGACCAGGAGTGTCACGACCATGGTAACGCATCTTTGAGAGGGGGGGGGGGGAGATGGGCATAGTTTTATGACTCATCTGCTTCATTGATGGGGCGAGCGGCCCGGGTACGAATTAACACCCAAGGGTGCGGGCCAGGGGGTAACCGTTGAATTTATAATTTCTCAGTGGAGTGTGGATGATTTGGTTGGCTTTTCTGTGAATGATTGAGAATTTGGGAGCACAGTCACGCTTTCATTTGCTGCTGTCAATCGGCTTACAATATGAGCCTGTGTAATTGCTTGCAGTTTGCATAAATGTTTTGTTTATCTAATGTAACATCCCAATCAAAGAATAACGAGAAAGATTTCAATGTCATTTTTGAGAGTCATAGGGAAATGGTTTTGGATTTAAGTCAGTCGGCTAGGGGTGAGTAAACATTCGTTGTTACTAAATTAAAAGAGCAGAGAAAACCGTCTTAAAGATCTGCACAGTATAAGATTTGTAATATCTTAATCTGACAGAATAGCTGAGGTCTCCAGCCACTTTCCCTTAACTTAAACTTCTAACCTGAACTCAGATGTAAATCCCACGGTGAAAAAAATAAAGGAATGCCCAACCATGGCTCATTTTTTTTCGGGGGGGGGGGGGGGGGGGGGTGGGGGTTTCAAATACTTTATCACTTACACTGTTAAGGTTGTCGTAAATCTTTTATTATTGCCACGGTCTGCATATTTTGGCCTTTCCCTAAAGTCAAGCCAAAAAAATTACCATCAAGAGGTAACAAGCCATATCTAAACATTTTGGTGAGGCTAGAGAGAAGGAAACTGATACTTAGCGTCTGGAATAAATCTTTCAGCTTACAACCAAGATAAGGCTGCACACCAACACCATCAACTGGTCAGACTCTAAATTCAATTGATTAATTGTCCCTAACCCAGTTGGAGGAAATTCTAACCTAATTCCATCCTCAAGTGGTCAGCCCAAACAATGTCCAACAACCCCCCCCCCACCCCCACCCCCCCCCCTTTCCCCAATCCACCAAATAATCAGCACCTCCGAAAACCCCCAAAATGTTTACAGAACAGACATTCCAATTTCTACACCAACGCCCCCTGCTTTGCAAGTACACAGACAACAGACACATGACGCAGTGAAAAATCTCATCATGTCTGCCAGTGTGGTTTGTCCATCCCCTCTGGGGATTCAACAGCACATTCTTGACCTACAAGTGACCTAACTGGGTCGTCGCCGGGGCGGTGACCTGAGGTCATTCTTCTTGCGGTCCAATGTTAATTTGTCAAATTAGGTGGGCTTATTTGTGTGTGCCCTGTGGTGACTAGGCTCCACCGATATTCTACCTCCATGTCCTTCAAATTCATAGAAGTTGACTTTTTTGGGAAGGAAAGGCCAATTTGGATAACTAATGTGACTGGATATTGTTTAATTGCCCACCTCTTGCTCCAGTTTTCTATTTTCTAAACCTTATCGGTTTGATCCATAATTGTTGTAATGCTTCCCAAAGCTGTATGCATTAAGGCCGACGTCTTGAAGAAAGGGAATAACGAAAATTTGGTGAAAGGGAATATTGTAAATTCGATGTTCACATCAAGTTTCATGTAAATGTGATTTACTTTACATGTAATTTAGAATTTTAAAAAATTGGTTGGACAAGGAAGGAAAACATTGAGCCAAAAGAAAGTTGCCAACAAGAGCATTGAGATTCAAATATGAGATTCACCCAGTCAGATAATGTAATAATGGCTTTTCTGAAACAGATCTGTTTTTTTGGTACAATCAAAGTGAAACATGCTGAATTGAAATACAAGAAATTTAATTTCGTATTTGTTTCATCCATGATTGCGTTGTTGTTCCTGCTGATATGAAACGCCGGGGACATGCAGAACGAGGCTAAATTGGAACAAACAGATATTGAGTGCTCCAAACGTCGACGTTCTATTATCAGTAGTGCTCAAGTTACGGTTTCTTCATCCCCAATTTCTCAAAAAATCCTGTACCGAAATGAAAAATATTTTCTGCCTTCTGTAGCTCGGCCAATGAAAAAATATCAAATGGCAGAAAAAAGGGGGAAAAGACGGGAAAACAATGTTTGTTAGCTACACATCCTGGGGCACATGAGACTGATGTCCAAAAAAAAAAAAATTACCAATTTTCTTTCTCTTTTTTTTGTTGGAAAAGCCTTTGTGATTTTTTTTTCCTTTTTCTTTTTCTGATTTCAAAAGAAAAACCCACAATTTTCTTTTTCTTAATTTGGTAGAAAAGCCTTTGTTTTGTTGTGATTCCCCCCCCCCTCTTTTTTCGTCTACTCTCTCTTTTCTGTGGGTTACATGGATTTCGCCTTGTGCCCTTGCCAACAATTACTCAAGTGAAGTATGCAGCGCTGGCCAGTTTTTCTCACACCTAGCGAGCATTCCGCACATTCCTGGCAGGTAAAATACACACCAAAAGAGAGCCCTAGCCTACCCTGCCTATACCCCGAATGTGTCAAAATCAACACGCAAGCCGGCCATTTATTAAAGAGCTGGATCATGTGCCCGCTGTGTAATTATACATGCAGTATGAGTATGACTGGTGCAGTGGGTATTGGAGAAAAGGAGAAGGGAAAAAGGTTGACAGCTTTTTATATGTGTTTCACTTTCAGACGAGCGTGCAAGTTGTGTAATTCTGCTGAGATAGAGTCTCCTTTGTCCTTGTACTTATGAGATATTTTCTTTGATAATAATTCTCCTCAAAAGTCATCATTTACTTAGGGGATTGTGATGGGCAAAGAAAGTTCTTGCCAAACAGTTGGACATTTGCACATGTGCATATGCATCAACTGATATATCTTTTTTTATTGAGAACAGATTTTCTTTTGAATTTTTGATAGTCACCAAACCATTTTAATGGCAAAATCTTACAAACTGAGAACGGCCATTCCACAAGAAATCACACTTTAAAGATTTCTTCATCAGGCCCAATTTCCAGCATAAACGTACATGTTCAGTCATGTTCCCTGCAGCACCCTTACTAATCTCGAAAAATTAAACCTCCCTGAAAGGGTTCGCCATTCAAAGTGCTCCTCAAAAATTCACGGCACGAATTCAGCACTCTGGACATTCCTTCAGTGGAGTCCTAGCCTATTGTAACCAGGCACCAGATCTTGAAACAGAACACCAGATACGCCTCACCATGCGGGAACCCAATGAAACCAGAACTGGATGAATCATCGTTTTTAATAGCCGTCAAATCTCCTAATAAATTGGGCCCACTCAAGACTGACACGCTATTGTAAAGTGTCACAAACGGTGTGACAAACAGTGGTACGCATGGACACAGTTACCGGATAATTACAATTTGGGACTCGGGAAGATCCACAATATAACAAGCCTTGTTGGCCTTCATGAACAGACGTTTGCTGATTTACATGAACATGAAATATAAGTTGCCGTTGTATTGCACTTGAATTTCAGCTTATGTTTTCAACAAGAAAATAGTACAATATAAGGCCTTTACAAAAAAAAAACTTCAAACACATGTAATAAAAATATGATTACAATGTACAACTCTTCATGTTCATCCCAATTTTCCTCTTTGTTGTGTACAAGAGGAAAGGGTATTGTTAAAAACGATGTGGAACACACAAATTGTCAGTGGCAAGTGTTTCCAACAATTTCTACTTAAATATCTAACCCCAACTTAAGCCCGGCTATTTTAGCAAACGCCTCCTCTGTATCTGTCTGTAGCAATTTTTCATGACACGTTTCCCTTTTTTGTCCTGTTTCGGCAACAGCTTTTAACAATCACTTATTTTCTCACCCCCCTCAACTCTTATCGCGCTCCCAGCTGTTCAAATCTCCCCGGTATATGGGGGGCTTGTGGGCCAATGTTGCCTTTGCTTGTACTCAAAATAACCCGGGGCCAGTTGGGCCTGGGCTTAGGGTACACCAAGGACTGCCAGACAAAACACTGAAAAGGGCTGAGAGAATCCAGCCCGAGATGCTGGCTGGTGTGAGGCTCTGAAAGGGGGGGGGGGGGGACAAGAGCTTGAGCAACAAGGAACTCATGTCTCTGCCTTGGGGTCAGAGGTGAGGGTTCCATTTCACAGGAATTTGGAGGACATGTCTGGATGCTTGCGAGGAGCTTTGGAAGGGCAAAACCGGGGCATGGAGCAGGAAGGTTCGGGAGGGATTAGTTTGGGAGACTATCACAACAATGGATGGGTTTTTGGAGAATTTTGGGGTCAGGTTAGCGAAGGGGGAGGTTTGTGGGCTAATGGATGGGACGGGATGGAAGTTGGGATGTCATCATATATCATACTTTTGACTGATACATATGATACTGTATCGAAAATATGAATTAAAGGGGTATTCAGTATATGATGTAAATTAACTTTAAAGTTAATTTCTTGTGAATGGCTTAGGAGAAAATTTAGAATGTGGGGATCAAGAGGTAATACAGGATTTGGAAGTAACAATTAAAGAGGAAATTCCACGCTTTACGAGACTTTCTGAGTTTTACAATTTTTGATGGCGTACATGTGAAGCGAAAAACAGGGAAATCAGCTGATCCGAGGAAAAGTTGCAAGCCTGGGTTTCTTCATGAGTGATTTTTTTGGGGGGGGGGATTCTGCTGCAGGATGAAGGTTCCACGAAATAGAGGTATGCTTTGGTGACGTTGATGACGATTTGAGTTTAAAATTTTGAGTGGAACACATGAGGAATAGTGTTAAATATACATTTTTTGACAAACCTTGTTTGTGACTGTAATAGCGTTTTCCTGCATGTTCATGATGGCCTCCGAGATCCGAATGTCAATGGGTTCCATGACAACCTCAATGTTCACCGGTCCCTCTAGACGGTCTACCAGTGACAACATGGCATCTGCAAATAGGGAAAAAAATTAAAAGACCCGAAAATCTTTAAAAGTGATCAAATGTTTTTGTATTGTAACAGGGCAAATAAACCTGAAACAGACACAATATAAACTTGAAACTGCAATTTGGTATCTGCAAAAGAAAAAAATCAAAGTGCCAAAAAAAATATTACAGTGATGAAATGTTTTCAAACAAACCTGAATCTGACACCAAACAAACTTGAAACTGAAACAATTTGCATTGAAAGATCCATGGCTCATTTTGTAAATAAACTGCATTATCTACATTTTTCAGTTTTAAGTACATTCTCCTTGCTTTCTCTTTTCCAATTTTAATTCCATACATTACAACAACAGCAAATTATTCCTGACAAGGCTAGTTATAGTTTATAGACCTTCAAATTAATAACCCACCGCTCAATGTCAAATTAACTACAAATGACAAATCAAAACATTGACTGGCGGCAAGTCTAGCTCCGACCTCTTTTTTTTTTTCTTCTTCCAAACCTCACTTGACCCTACACACAAGTACACAGATTGAGAAATATAAGACTGGGGTGAAAGGTCGTATCAATAAATTGTCAAGGTAACTGCTTGGGGGCGTCTTGGATCCAAAGTAAATTGTTCCCTGTCAAATGGTAATTAGATTGGGCCGAGTACAATGCGTCCAAGGCAATGGGGCCAAGTTTGGCACTGGTACTGGTAGAACTATGCCTGTAGACCACACAGTGCTGAGTGCTCAGATATGGATATCAATTATACGCCAGTTCTAAAAAATTGGTCTGGAAATGTTCAATTCACACTACTGTTCAAGTCTAACTCCTGCGCTTCACCAAGTTTTAAATATTAAAATGCTGTTATAAAAAAGAGCATTAAAATTAAATCAAACATTTGATTATGACAAACATTCTCCAGACTTAGATCTGAATTTTCCATGGGCTGAACATTCCACTAACCAGAAGACCACATGACTAATATCCCAAACATGTTGATCTCATGTTTGTTGTGGTGCTATGCTTAGCTAGGGCCAGTTCCACCATGTACGGTACTTCACGGGAATGTGAGGCACATTTGATGACGAGAAACTTTCACACTGGCATTTGCCCAAGTTGAAATACGTTAAGTTCAAAATTACAGCCTGAATACTAAGCCACCACATCACACATTGCCTGTGTATAAAGTTGGAACAGAATGTGAACCATTCTGCATATTGTAGTGGTACTGATTCTGTAACAAAATTGTTAACCATCCTATGAAATGTAAGCCCTTAATTGGCCGACTTACTTTCTGCTGGAGTATAAGCTAACAGCACAGCATCCATAAAACCAAACCCCTACCCCTTGCCCGCAGCCCCCCCCCCCCCAAAAAACCCTCCAATTCAGCACAGCTAGGACTACTCTACTGTGAATGTTCCTGCTGCTTTATTGATAAAGTATCGATTATTTACACCCAGCATCAGGTTAGCCCATCACACTGCCCATGCCATACCATGACCCATCTGTGCATGGCCCAACCATTCAGTCCTGATTTTCGGGGCTACTTGAGAAATGATTTAACACCGGTCTTTTGTGGACTGGAAATCCTGTCTGTCAAGCAGGAATGGCTGTTTCCGGTCTCTAACCTTCCATCTCCCCCCCCCCCCCCTTCAACTCTCTCAGGAATTCCTTCTGTTTTTCCCTCTGTTCTACAATGAGAGTGATTTATAAGCTCCCTTTTTCACAGTTCATGTCAACCCCAAATGGTTCGTAAAACCTCTAAAAAGCTCTGGCCAAAAAGTAGTCAACAAAGCTTCTGTAAAATGTTTCAGGATTGTCACTGGAAGTGTCTAGAATTTATCTGTCACTAGATACATAAACTTAATTTCCCTCATAAAACGTTTATCTGCTTTGATAAATCTGTAGGCTCAACGATAATATGTACCTTTATGAGACAAATTTTTGTTAATGAGAAGCCCCTGAGATTTTTTTGTGAAAAAAAACACCAGCAGGTTCTTTTCGACAAATTGTCACAGTTTTCATAACCTACACCAAACTGAATCAGCCTCTCCGTGAAAAACAGCAACAAATTCAGTATACACAAAGTGTCACTGTGATAAACAAAGAGATTCGCCTGAAAGTGAAAGTACAGCAGATTTTGAAACTGGCTGCGTATTAGAGAAAACTTTGGGGCACAACTTGCCAGCTTGGGTATTAGGTCACAGGTCACGGATCATAAGCTGCCGTGCACAATATTGAATTATGGCCAATAAAAACGACCAATTGGAGGATTAATATTGGGGAAGGCGGCCGGGGTCAGGGGGTCGCATTTCTTCCAATAATGTTTTGGCAAAGTTGGCGGATTTGGGGAAATTCCGAACGTGTCAGGGAACGGGGCTGCTTTGGTTGTGCTGGGGGGATCATGTTACACAATGGCCCACCCGAGAGAGCGTCACACAGGTGGCAAAACACTCACGCAAATGCCCGACCAATACAGGTGTTGTATCTTTGTCTGATAACGCCTCTATGAAGGGGTGTCGCCCTAAAAAGAGAAGTACCTGACGTATTTATAACTCAAAGCTTCAGTCAGTTTGCCTGATACATTCTATAAATGACAATCGGAGAAAATTGACCAAAAATATGATATAACGTCAGTCACTTCTCCGAACTTCCTAGCGACTCACCTATGTAATTGTTCCAGGCAGCGTCTAGCTCGGCCTGTTCGGCCAGGCACCCCTTGAGCGTATTCAGGCACAGGTTGTAGCATGGCTTGGTGCTGGGTAGGCCTCGACAGTGGGGGCAGTAGGACATGCGCATCAACGACTTCTGGCACTCTTCCGTCGGTGTTACCTAAGAAACAGAAGAAATTGAATATAGAATTAAATACTTGTGCGTGCGCCATCTTGTTATTGCTCCAGAACAATTTATAACATCTTGGAACTGTTTCAGAAACTCACAAACTCACAAGAGAGATTTGTCACATGGCGCTACAGTAAACCGTTTTCAAATTTTGCTATTTTGAAGTTTGTTTTGAGATCATTTTAAAAGTTTGAAAAAGCTCAAAACGGGTTGTAAAGACAAGAGAAGGTAATTTGAGGGGAAAGGGAAATAGGTCTTGATTCAATCATGGAGCTATAAAACACACTGAAATCTTGCACAGTTACATGTACATGTACTTTGGTTCCCACAAGAACTTACGTGTATCACTATTATGGTATCAGGCTTGAGCATCGGTCATATCTCAATGCTTCTTCAAGTTCAACCAACAGGGTTGCAAAAATGCGCAAGTGACTTAAATTTACGAATCAGTGAATTATATGCATATATAACAAATTACTTGGGCTATGGCTTGCATAAACACATGCACCTATGGAAGCAGCCACAGCCACTTACTGCCGGCTGTCTTACTGCCGGCTGTAGCCAAGTAATACAGATTTGGGCTTAAAAGATCCCAGACGGTGACGATTTAACATCTTTCAATACACACCCGCATGATCTGAAGGCCTGACATTTACCAGGGATGTTGTGGGTATGGAACTGATAGGGTTTACAGATCTCAGTGTGTGTCTGTCTGTTTGCCTGCCTGTCAGTTTATCTCAGCCCTAAACACATTAGAATCAACCATCCCTCTTTACCCCATCAGCTAGGCTTGATGACAAGACCTTTCCCCATCCCCTTCTTCATCCCGTCTCCCCAAACAGACGAGCAAAAACTCCTCCTTCCCCACCATTAGGCAATAATGTCTCAACGCCTTCACACTTTTCTGCATGAGTTAGGGGATGAAGACACCCGTGCAAGACGACTGTCTTGAGAAAAGCTTAAAGACTGCTGCCAGTCACATACCATACGCACAACACATTAAGAACATTACCAATAAGCTTCTCCAGAGGGAGTAATGTCTACAATAACAGCATGAGAATTTCTTTTCCGGAGCAGTTTTCTAAAATAACATCTGAATGTAGGGCAGTCAATTTCTGTGAAACTTTTAAGCACGAGCACACAGTGCTGTATCACAGACGTCATCATGTACTAATGACAGATGATGATAATTTATTGGCTCTGCGCAAGCAATGCTGAGGGCGCTATTTGGCATTCACAAACAAGTGTGGGATCTCATTCAAGTAGATCCCATCGTTTACACGTACTGTACAATGTAAAAATCAGACAGGTGATTGGCATCTTCTGAAATTCCAGCCCGAGTCTTGGGTAATCGCAGACGATCCCTTCCTTAAAACAGACATCACCGTCATCGCCTCTGCATCTTCCTCACAAGCTCCCAGAGTCCTCATCACCTGCTAATGGATGAGCTGTTATCAAAACAATTAGCCCATTCCCGCCTCACTGCACATCCTCTCTGTGCCGTCTACTGGCTTCTCCGCCTCCTAGATCACATCCTCCAGGGGAAGCCTGTGCGGTTGTTGTTGATTCCTCATTAGTTAGTTCCCATCCCCCAGGGGGAGGTAGCCGGGCCTGGTGTTTTACTGTGCATGTTGGTTATGATAACATCAAAGGTTTTTTTTTCTCGGGTGTGAGGCAGAGAAATACTGGGGCAAATTATGCTGAGAGACGGGAGATGGAATATTCATGGGTGACTTCTCCAAGGAATTCTTGTGGTCTCCAATGTCCAAAGGATAATATTCAAAATTTATGAGCGTGAAACTAGAGGTTTTCCCAATCAATAGTTCTTTACTTGCTAAGAAAGGCCACACAAGACTTTCAACAAGTTTCTTTTTCTTTTTTAAATGACCTACCGGTACAGGGCAAGAAAACAAAACCAGAAAATCAATTGATGCAAGGAAAAGTTTCATTCGTGTTCAATGCAGCTGAAGAATACAAGCTATTTTTGGTTGTACTTTTTTTTCTTCAGCACAGAAAACCCATTTGATCATTTAATTTTTTTTCTCTTCAAATTGTTGATCTAAATTGGAAACCCCCTAATAATGTACCGGTACGCTGGTTTAATTGCCAACTTTCGGTTGCATTTTATTTTGCAGACCGTGAAATTTTATTCATGGTACATTCTTCTTTTGCTTCTTAATTGGACATGTATTTCTCCCACAGTATTCGTCTACGTCAACCTTGCTCCTCAGTAGGTTGCACATATATTTTGAAACTCTTTAGGATTATTACACCCACAATTCAAAGGGCTTTTCTCAACAAACAGTGCAAGGGAAAGCCTTAAGGAATGTACTGCTGGACACTCCACATTGTTGGCTTTCAGTCTCAGCACACGATCCGGTGAGGAATGGCCAATTGTCCTGACCACTGACCAACTGACCGCTGGCCCAAGTGCCTCAAGTATAAGTCGCATAACCTTCCAACTCGTGCTGAACACAACACCCAATGGATATAACACAGTGAAAAGCCAACACAAACACTTCAACTCTTTTTGAAAAGGATTTTGATGCAAGTGCACAGTGCAGTGACCGGTGGATTTCTGGTCATAAGGCTTTCATAATTAACGTTAGCCAGCCCCCCCCCCCCCCAAAAAAAATGTGGTTCAAACACAGCACAGGAGCAGGAGTAATGGGGCCACACCATAGTAATGCACCATGCTGTGCCCGATGTCCACACAAACACTTCAACTTCTTCAGGTTGAATAAAATAGACGGGGCAAGAGACGTTAAAGTCGGGGTTCTGTTCTGCGTTGGGATACAGCTGAACTCAAAATTATGCATACAGTGAGACCGTATAAATAAAGAAATGTAACTATGCTTGGCAACTGATTTAGTGTGCACGTAATTCGTATAAAAGATGGTGAAATTACATGTACCATCAGGCATCTTTCAAAACAAAAATTGATGCGCCTGGACAGATTGTAGGTGCACTGTAAATTTGTGAAGGAATTAGACGTCTTGCTACAGCTCTTATGTGACTGTACTATGGATGTACATGTCAAGAAGCTTGCGTGTTTGCTCATGTACGTGTACGTACATGTAATTTCACTCTGAATAGTTACATGCAGTATCCAATTGGACAGGTAAAATTACCAATCTAGCAAATGATTTGTCTGTTTACGCGGCAAAGCCCACAAAAATCAGCCCGAGATTGAGATTAAATTCCTGTGTGGGGCCTCATTCCCTTCAAGTCGCATCCACCTTCCTGAGTAAAATATTCCTCCACCGGGCGGACAAGAATAGGCTACTGGCAGCCGAAGAGGTCAACAAGGGGTCATTGCCATGGCGACCGGCTCTTTCGGCATCTTTCCCTGGCGGCATCACTGCGTTTGATGTCTAGCATCTGTTTAGGTTTGGTCCGAAAAGCATCTCTGAGTGCCAGCAAGTCTAGGCCGGGCACGTCTTAACATTATAATGTAAGATCACTCCAAGACTCTGGACAGAACATGCTGAAGACTCAGACACTAGATGAAGTGAGGGTATCTAGGGCTGTGGTCGTGAATGCAAGGCAATTTGAACATTGGACTTTGAATGTCATGGTGTAGCAAAAATGATAAATGACGTTGTTGAGAATTTCAATAAGGGATGGTTTCCAGCCTGGAGTGAGTCAATGAAAATACTTCAGTTATTTTCAGAAATGTCTTCAATATTTTGGAGCACTGACGTTTGACCAGTAACATTCAGGCTTTAATAAATGTTACTGAAGGAAAAATAGATTATGTTTATTGGTCATTACTGTTTTAATGTACTGTGTCAATGTACGGTATCTGTACGTTCTGCTGATGTACCATTAAACATGTACCTTTTTGTGTACACCTACAGTACACGAGCATGCATTGATTTCATTTACAGATTTCATGCGCACAGAATTCTCGCACTCCCTGAAAATATCTCCCCTCAAGGTCTTGGCAGGGGCAGGTTATAGGGAGTCACGCCGGCAGTTGTAATAACACATTCAGAAATGTGGGAAAACTTCCATTATGTTTACGTTACTCAAATATTGCCGCAATCTTGAACCCTGGCAGTGTAAACATTCAGCCTTGGTGATTACACGGTGCGTGATAGATAAATGTTCCCCTGACATTAACCGCAGGCTAATAAATTGCTTTCTCACATACACAGTTACAAAAAAAAATTGTGTTTAATATTTTTTTAATGTTTCATTTTTGCAAATATTATCAGTGCAGAACGGAAAATAGTGAGGGTGGTGTTATGGTGTGTCAGCGAAAAGATGTAAGTTTGCATAAAACCAACTCATAACACTTTGCAAACAATTCCACTAAGTGAAATGAATGGATTTTAAAAGAAATTTTTGAAACACAGCGACTACATGTACCTAGTACATGTACATCTGAATATTATGCAAATTTTCCGCAATGTCTGTTGAATACCTTGGTTTTTTTTAAGGTGTCCTGAATCCATGTTAAATTTTACTCTTAACACAATATGCAATTGATGCACAGTTATTAAGATTTAAAAGAAGGTATTCGTCAGAATTTACCGGTACTGCCATTTAAAAATATTTCTGAAATCAAAGTCAACTCGTCCAAATAACCAAACAAAAATGTTCGTGTTATTTGCACCAACATACATAGTACTGTATGTACATGTAATATTACCTCAAAAAGGTCCAATGAACAGAAAGCTTAAATGCATGTGCCCCAAAGTACACATAATACTGTAGGTGTCTATGTGGGAGTGGTACAAGTAATTAAAAACTATTGATATTGTACACAATTACTCATTTATAAACCTCGCTGTCATTATTCACTATCCCATCATGCATCTGTTCGCACCCACCGACGGGGGTTTTACGCGGGGCAGGTCACGTCTATTGATCCCCTGGGCGGGCTGGCCTGCCGACGTGCGTGTGCGCGTGTGTGTAAAGCTAGACGCTACAAAGAGCCTGATCAATACGCACAAGTGTTGCATTGCCTTTACAAGTATCGTGATATTCCCAGGCAAGGAACGTGTCGATCTTTCGGATTTTTTTTTTCCTCCAAGTTGGTTGGGGAGCAGTTTAAGGAAGAGGGAGGAACCGCTGTCTCCAGTAATGCATCACTAGCCTGAGACACTAATAAACAACAGCTGGACTCTCAAAGCCCGGAGTTTCCTCTGTGACATGACAGTTTCATTTTTTGTCGGTATATTACATGTGGAAATGAAATCAGTGCAATGATATTTTGATTTTGGAAGACTCAAGATTTTTTTATCCAGAAATTTTGGAATGGGGTGAGAATATTCAACAAGGTGTTTTTTGAAGGGATTTTTGCAAGGAAATAAAAAAATGCCAAATTTTATAAATGAAATGAAGACATACCGTTACATGTAACATGGAAATCTCAATATTTTACAAGATTCTTCTTTAAATTCTCTCAATATGTTCTGATTGCCTAATATATCCCCATACATGTACACATGTACATGTATGTAGAACTATCGGTATATATGTACTTGTAGCAATCTTGTGCAATGTACATGTACCGGTACTTATACTTTGCTGCCAGTGAGAGTTAGACATACGGTAGCCACTGTATTATCACCAAACTCTTCAAGAATACATACGGATGCCCGTTTAAAAAAAGAAAATTAAACTTCAGATAAACATTGATGATGTGAAGCAAAGAAACCTACATACTGAGTTTCAAGCCACTGGCTGCTGCTGAAACAGTGAACAAATGTACCGTAGATGGAGAGTCAAATGACTGTGACCTTTCCTTCCAATCAGCTCAGGAGTACACATCACTCCCACCACATCTCAATCAAGCAATCATCGATGAGGTCGGCCCGGGCATTCCTCCACGGACTCCCCTCTCCCGTCTCCCCTCCACCCCCCCCCCCCCTTCAAGTCAAGAAACAATTCTTGACAGGGCGTGTCAGATGCCCACTTTTTTTGTTGGCGACGGAATCAATCGGCGGGGCAGTGGGAAAAAGAGGTGATTTAAGGGTTGTCTCCCTCCGTTCTAAATCACTCAGCGTTGCAAGCCAACGGTGGTACGTGACTCTGAGACGAGTCCGATCCATTTGGGTTGAAGTGTCCGGCGCAATCGTTCAAATACACAGGTCCTCAAGATTAACAGCCTGGAGGGTCAATGCTTCAGAACTATCCCCATCATTTGTTTCAGATTTCTCTATTTTTTGTTGATTTTTACACAGTTCCATCACCTTTCCTTGTGAAAAGCTATTGACTTTCCTGAGAATTACTACAGGTTTCGATATTATTTCAGCTACTTGACAATTAAATGTTTTGGATTTTTAACACCTGTAATTTCGGCGAAGAATCTCCTGCAGTTCTGTAACATTTCATCACTCTCTACCACTTGAATTTTATTTAGATTATTTTTTTCGGTGACCTTTGCCAACATGAAATTTGGCGACCACACGCAAACCCGGCAAACCTGTGGAAATTTATTTATCTTAGTTTGCCGTTGGCAACCTTGTGCACTCTTGTGCCAGGCGGCGGCATGTGGCAAGAAAATCTGTTGTGTTGTGCAAGAAAATGTCACAAAAATGAAACTAATGCTTCTGGCTGAGTTCGGTAACCGTTGGAAACAAACTGTACTGTCTGTGATGATGCAAGTAGCTCAACAACCAATCACAGACCGGGACTGAAATCCTGTGTCTGTGACTTGAGCTCTCTGATTGGTCGAAGGTGGTTGTCAAGGGAGTTGCGTATTGTTACCTCAGAGGAATTCCTTCCACCCCTAGAGGCATACCGGTGGAGTCGATACAGCATGAGTGCGTGCAGAACATCAAAGCCGGACAGCCTTTGACCCAATTTTTGGGAATAACATTTTTAACAGGTGGGAATACATCAGAAATTTCGATTTGAAAAAAAAAAATTGCTACTTTATTTTTTTTTTCATGAAATGCCTAAACTGTTATGGTATTCTTCCCCTTTAACCCTAAAAAAAAAACGGGCCACTGTTTGCATTTGACCGTTTTTGATGATGGATACTTTTCCCATTTTAATCCAGTGCAAACAGCCTGAGAATGTTTCCTCTCAGTTACTATTACCAAAGTCAGGTGATACCCTTATTGGCCAAACTCTGCCCCCGAAAACTGAAAACGTCAATTTTCCTGAGCCAATGGTTCAGTGAGGACACTTTGAAGGTTACAGATAAGCGATGAAGCGTTACAGATAAGCGGTGCGAGCTAGGCATGCATGTCTTCTAACAAAATTGAGCTTTACAAACCTCCGAGACTTGAGAAAGAACTTCCCGGCCGACCACCAGGCCCTGGACGAACGTCCGCGCCACGATGAACGCCCGCTTGATGTGTGAGGTCAGCTTGTTGGGAACGTCGCCAAACGGCTCCAGGTCGTCCGTGTGCTCGGCCACGCATTCCCAAAAGTCCTCGCTGTACTCATAATTGGAGTTGAGCAGGACAAACATGCGCTGGAGCAGCTCCGTGAAGAAGTCCTGCATGGTGTCCGCGAGGTCCAAGTCGCTGCCGTGGTAGTAGCGCCGAAAGTTCTCAAAGAGCTCGTCAAAGAACTCAGAGTTCTGTTGGTATAGCGACCCATAGGTTTCTGTAAACATGCGCCGTAGGTCGGCTTGACCCCTGTCTATCAACTCTTTGAAAAAATCTGCAACGAAGAAAAAAAAAAAGAACATTAGGTTATCATCGCAAAGAATAATTAAAAGACAGAACCAAAACCAAAGGTGATTTTTTTCAAACACTTCATCTTGATAAACTGAAATATATTACATCTTTCTGCCAACATTTTAAGCCCAGTTTGCTTCATTACTAATGCACAGGCGATGAAGGGGGGCCTACCCCTTGCCAATTTTTTGTGAAAATTATTACTTTGCCCACACTTTTAGATCTGCCATCAAAGAGAAAACCTACTGTACGCCCACCCCTTCACCACTTGAGATTTTTTTGGGGTGGTTTCAGGACAGATGTCTGTATTTATACAAAATGCCCATTGGGAGCTAAGAAAACTGTGGCTGCCTTGCTAGCCGGGTAAATCCACAGCGATGGATACCAAAATGAGTGTAACTTAAGACCATGAAAATCCAATATCCATCTAAATTCAGCCACCTCAGTTGCTCTGCCATAATTCTGTATTCTTATCTGGGCAAGAAATCACTCAAATGGAATGCTGGGAATGTCCGGCATATACCGAGGGGATTCAGGACGGTGAGGGTAGACCAGGACCCTCCAATGGGTGATTTTCTCTGTTGATGGAGGGATATATTACTGTCAAAAGTCATAAATTTGCAGACTTTAGATTTCCCGCTACCAATTCGTTTTTGAAGTTGAAGAGTTCATGACGAGAAATCTAAAACATTTAGATTTTCGGTTTTTAAAACTTTTTTTAAAATTTTGTGCGGAGAGAGTGCACATTCATGTCAAACTGAAGCCGGTAACGCACATCGCTGCGATTCCATCACACACAAAATGATCCATCACCGCTGTGCTTTTGAATTCGTAAACACATTGCATCTGTTTTATTAGCCGGAATAATGGGAAACAGGGGCCTGCTAATTCCTCTGACATTTACTTAAAGCCAATTACTCAGCCAGAAAGATGAGAAAAAAAATCTTTTGCGCGTCCATGTTTTTCTTGACACAGACTCTGACCTTGTCTGTGACCTTTATAGTGCATCTTACGCAGAAATGGTTAAACGTAAAAATGTCTTGGCGTGCACGGAGGGGAGCAGTTTCCATGCGATACGAGTCTTTGCATTTCCCAAGCGACACTTTTCTGACGTCAAACTCCGCAAGAACAATTTGTCAATTTCAATTTGCGACCGGTCATCATAAATTCATATCATTTTTCTCGTTGACATTCAGCATTGAAGGATTAGAATTTTTGATTGATGACAAAATTATATGTTTCTTTTAGAAATTATAACCATGTGTCACTTTCAAAATTATTTCAAAAGTTGCTACTAGGTAAAGACAGGTTGATGCGAATTTGCAGTGAAGTTGACATTCATAAAAAAAAATTGCAACAAACTTCATGAGTTGAAATGTGTTCAAGTTTCAGCAGATTACTTGCAATGCCAATATTTGGCATAGTCTAACCCTACCCTTCCCAAATCCTCCCAAATCCTCTTTACAAAATGGAGGATTTTTGCTGGATTGAGGCTACATGATTGCCGGTTTTGGAGGATGCACTGTGTCAAGGTCTTGGGCCGGACCTTGTGTTGTTTGGTCAGCAATGCAAAAATTAAGCCCTAGATTATACTTGAAATCCTAACGGAGGATTTTGCTGGATTGAGGCTGTATGCTACTTTTACATGAAGGCAGTTGGAGGATTTTGCGGGATTGAGGTTACAAAACTAGCAAAAATGCCTATTGAATTAGGGTTAATTAATAAGACGTCACAAAATCGCTCCATTTGCATGAGCATGAAGTACATGTACAAACCAGCCTCCACAGGCCATTGGTGCATAGATCTCAAAATTGATTTTAAAAAATATTCACTAACTAGTACATTTACATTGTAATTAAATAATGACAAATTTCTACAAAAGAATCTAAACTTCAAAGGAATAAGAAACACTTTCCTTCAAGAATAACAATTATAGACATTTAAAAAAATCAATGAGATTTTCCCAAGACAATAAGATCCCGATGCCAATAAAACCCTTCATCTGCGCTAATGATTCCACTGAGTCACTTAATGACATCGACGATCAATGCAACGACTTGTCATTTAAATCCAAAACGAAGCCGGAGTCGTACCCACGCACAATAAATGCTCTGAATAGGAAAGCAAGGTATTCAACGAGCTTGATCTCAAAGACTCCAACCAATCATGAATCATTCAGGAGAGGTCAATTAATGGGGCCGATAACTTGAAGACTTGCTCCCATTGCCCTTAAGTCCTTTCTAATTCACCAGATGCATTTATTCAAGAATCCATCCGCGTGGCACGAGCATTTCTGATTCTATGCTACTGGTATCTCCAAGGAATAAATTTCAAATGACTGCACGCATATCATGAAATACATGTGTAGTATAATTATTTTTTACCAAGAACCAAATATATTTTGAATTGGAATATTTGTGCGTCTCAGTTGATAAGATGACTCAAGGATGTTCATTTTGTCTTCTTCTGGAGAAAATTTAAATCTTCCCATTACTTTTTTTTTAAATTATTTTATGAATATTCATGTAGACCCATCAATAACATGTTGGCCATGAGGGCCAAATTTACATTAGACAAAAATTCAAAATTATAGTTGCACAACCATCCTTATTGTACAAATGTTTGAAGTAAATTACTTCAGTTTATTTTTTCCCCAATATCACAATGCAATGTAGTTAGGGAACCAGTACTGGTATATTAACGTTTCTGGTTTCCAGAGATATCCGTCTAATAAAATGTGGAAAATAAAGGAGAAATGTTTTAATAATAAGTAAAACGACCTTGATCTCCACAACCGTAACCATTTCATCTTTTAAATGATTGATTAAGGATAAATGACCGATGACAAACATTGATGCAGCGGCCCCCAATCTCAAATGATTGCCTCATTAGCATACATTATGCATATTGCGAAGGCAACGTCAACTGCCCCCTGCTGTTACCAAGAATATCAGGGAGAAAATACTGCATGATGAGTCACACTAGACTTGCGACAGCCCTCCCTCGGTTCATCTCATTTTCAAGACTTTGGAAGGCACAGAAGACATGAAGTAACAATGCAGCCTACACTTAAATCATGAACATTCATTTAAAATCCTTTCAAAGCCTTAGCTGGGCATGGAAGTAAATTTTTAATGTAAGTAGAACACCGAGCCACAAAAAAAGAGCTCTTTGTGAATTTCTTTTCTTCAAAGATACATGTTACGGGAAATGGGTCATTTGGGAGACTATCCCATAGACTTGTGCACACAATTTGTCCATCTTTAATGTCACCTAACTCCAATTTTACCTGATCCCACCCCCACAAATTTCTACATTTATGTGTTGGACCACGAGCAATTGATCTAGCCTATTTGCGACAACAAAAATTTGCCTCTAAAAAGCTCTGTTACATTAGGCAGACATTGAAGTGTCTCCCTGATGTCCGATGTCTCTTTAAGGTATAATTAACGACGATAAAATGTCTCGCAAGGGTATCATTAACAGGTATTACACAAACTAAAACTTCTTCAGTAGGACGAAGAAAGAAACCCTTGACGCTCCAGGCCAAATAACACAATTTCAGTTTAAACTTTAAATTGTTCTGACGGGTCGTTTTGTACAATTGTGATTATTGTTGCTTTGTGCTTCGAGCAGCAAGTTTGCAGAGAGTGGAAGACTAGCGCCAGTCTAGCCATGACTGTTACATCTGTAATGCATCTATTGTTATGATAAGGCTTGTTGGACAATGCTTGACTCATGCTAAGATCTCAGGCCTTGAGAAGCTTGCGCTGTTCACTCTGCTGGTGCTACTTGGGCTAGTCTTGGTGTGCAAATCAATCCAGGCAACACTTTATTCACACTCTGTTCATATGCAGCCTATGAGGATGCAGGACTGTGTTGGTTACATAGACATTTTTATACATTTTTAATACAAGTGTTTCAAATTCAGTCTTGCTGGCTTTTTATTCTTAAAAAAAATGAGTACCTTTTATATATTGTGATATTGAGTAGAAATTACCAGGTTCGAATATGGGACATTATGTTCTACTGGCAGGCACAGTGAATTATAATGATAGGAATCTTTGTTCAGGATAAAAAATGTCAGCAGATTCCCAAATTGGTCTGTAGAAATGTCAGATCTTTAGATGGATGGGTATTGTTCTGCAAATTTTAGAAGCAGATTTCAGACATGATGAGGACAAAAGTGAAAAGAATAACTGCCTTTTCTTCAAGCCTACCGTGCATGTATCCACAATGTTTACATTATTATAAGAAGTGTTAACAAATAGCAACAAAGAACGAAACTGCACCTCAGTTTAAAAATTAAAAATACGTAGCAACATTATTATTTAGTTTAAGAAATATGCCCTGCAACATAATGCCAACTCCAGGACAACCTAACCACTCGGCAGGACTTCACAAATCGCCGCTTAGAATCTGATACCTAAATATCTCGCCGAGTAATCTAAACATTTGTAAGCATGAGTGATAGACACTCCTTTTATTAAAAGGCCCGTATAATGCGACCACTCTATCACATCCACTTTATAATTAAAAAGAAAAAAAGTAGTGACACGTTAGACCGAACAACCCCAGGATCATCCAGATTAAACTCAATTGATTTTTTTTTCTCCAAAGCTGTGATTAATGTCGGGCGATATTAGAAAGGTGTCGGCGTGACCGAGATTGATTTGAATAAGATCGTCCTCAATTTATTTGTCATCCTGGTACCGGTGTGCGTAACAGTAGGAGTGCAAAGATCAAGTGGGCGATGGACTTGTGTCGGTTGTTGCTCGGGTAGTGTACTGTGGGGGTGGGCGATGTTTAAAGGTAAAGCACTCAAACAACAGTTTTGGCTTTGATTTTAGCAAACCATAAACTCCGGGTTATTCATGGATTTTGGTGGCAATCGTCGTGGAGCCTGTCATTGAATAACTGAGGTTGTTACAAGACACTGTGTGTTGCTTTGAGGTAAATGAATTGTCATAGTACCGTAGGTCT